CTGCAGCGAGGACCACGCCTGGGGGAGGGGGGAGGGGGGGGGGGGTGATAAACAAAGTGCATGCGGCCCTGAGGGAGGGCTGGGCGGGGGGCAGGGAGGGAGGGGAAGTTGGGGAGGCAGAGGAGAGGAGGGAGGCAGAGGAGAGGAGGGGAGGGGAGAGGAGGGAGGCAGAAGAGAGGAGAGGAGGGAGGAGAGGGGAGGAGAGGAGAGAAGAGGAGAGGAGAGGAGGGAGGCAGAGGAGAGCAAGGAGGCAGGCAGGGAGAGCGGAGGGAGACGGAGGGAGACTGGTTCGCCTCGGCGTCGATGTGGTCCTGGTAGAGGGCGAGGTACTTTCCGAGAAAGTTCTGCTCGGGGCGCGAGAGCAGCGGCCGCGCCTCCGCGTCCGCCTCCCCCTGCCGCCGCGCGATGAAGATGGCCATCTTCGTGAGTTTCTCGAGACGCGTGCGGAGGTACGAGCGGAGCTGGTAGTTTGTCCTCTCGTTGTCCATCTCGTAGAGCGAGCGGAGGAGCGAGTCGCGCTCGTCCAGCTCCTCCACCCGCGCCTCCTGCTCCGCCACCTGCTCCTTGACGCGGAGCACTAGCTCGTGCTCGTGCGGCAGCAGCTCGGGCGCGCGCAACTCGTTGATCCACGCCGCCTGCAGCAGCTCGATGTCGGTCAGCGCCACGTCGTCGGAGGAGCTCGGCTCGGCCATGACTCGGCAGAAAGAGAGAGCGAGAGCGGGAGGCGGCCGGTGCGGGTGCGACGCTTGCGCGGCAACCGCCGCCCGCGATTTCTCAGGAAAGAAGAAAAACTTGCGAAACCAAGCTCAAGATGGGTGCGCACTGGCATGGGCCACCACCTTCCTCACACCGTTGACTTCTCACTGCGCCGGCGCCCACGCCTCGATCTTCTTGGGCAGCAGCTGGTTGGACAGGTCCTCCCCGTGGCCTAGGCAGCCGCGTTCGCCCTTGCCCCAAGTAAAGACAGCGCCGCTGGCGGTGATTGCGAGGCTTTGGTCGTCTCCCGCCGACACAGCGACGACGCGCTGCCCAGCGAAGGCCTCGATCTTCTTCGGCAGCAGCTGGTCCTGCTCGTCACCGTGGCCCAACTTGCCAGAGCCTCCATCGCCCCAGCTCCAAACGGCGCCGTTGGCGGTGAGGCCGAAGCTGTGGAAATCTCCAGCCAACACGGCAACGATCCGCTGGCCAGCGAAGGCCTCGATCTTCTTCGGCAGCAGCTGGCGCTGCTCGTCGCCGTGGCCCAGCTTGCCAAAAAATCCAAAGCCCCAGCTCCAGACGGCGCCACCGGCGGTGAGAGCGAGGTTGTGCCCGCCTCCAGCCGAGACAGCGACGACACGCTGGCCAGCAAAGGCCTCGACCTTCTTGGGCAGCAGCTGCTCCTGCTCGTCGCCGTGGCCCAGCTTGCCCCCACCTCCTTCACCCCAGCTCCAGACAGCGCCATCAGCGGTGAGGGCGAGGCTATGGCTCAATCCGGCCATAACAGCGGCGACGCGCTGCCCCGCCAAGGCCTCGACTTTCTTCGGCAGCAGCTGACGCTGCTGGTCGCCGTGGCCCAGCCGGCCTCGCTCTCCCCAGCCCCAGCTCCACACAGCGCCGTCGACGGTGATGGCGATGCTGTGGCTGCATCCAGCCGACACAGCGACGACGCGCTGGTCAGCAAACGCCTCAACCTTCTTCGGCAGCAGCTGCTGCTGCTCGTCGCCGTGGCCCAGCTGGCCATCGCCTCCCCCGCCCCAGCTCCAGACACTGCCGTTGGCGGCGAGGGCGAGGCTGTGCACATCTCCAGCCGACACGCTCACGGCGCGCTCGGCGCCCAACGGGGAAGGGAGGCGGGTCGGCGTGTTGAGCTGCGTCACGCCCTCGCCGTGCCCGAGCAGTCCCGGCGTCCAGCTCTCAGCCTTTCCGCACGACGAGAGCCGCCCCTCGCCGTCGATGAAGAGGCTGTGCCGATCGCCTGCCGCCGCCCTCGCCGGCGGGTTGTGCTCGCACAGCAGCGCCGAAAAGCACAGCCACCGCACGGCGCAGCTCTCTCCCTCTGGCTGCGCCGGCAGCTCGTAGCCGCGCTCTTGCGCCCACAAGCGGATGCCCTCGGCCGCGAGCGAGGCGAAGAAGAGGAGCGAGACGGCCGCGACGCGAGCGATGTCGGCGGGGTCGCAGCGAGAGAGGACGCGCACGAGGAGGTCCGTGGGGAGGTCGAGGAGGGGGCAGTGCGCGGCGGCGGCGGCGGCGGCGGCGAGGCGGCGCGAGCGGCGCCGTTCGGCAGTCATATCGCGAGAAAAAGATAACGCGCCGGCCTTCAGCGGAGCTGGGAATAGGACCGCCGCAAGCGGCGTGGCGTGGAGCGGTTGAGCATCCCTCCGGGGGCCCCTCTGCGCCGGGGAGGCGTTGTTGGAGGCTAGGACGCAAGCGTCCGTCGCCCTTTTCAAACTCGGGGCCCACTCCGCTACGCTCCGACCCGAATTTGGAGGGCCTAAAAGTTTGAGGTGTTGCTGCGCAAAAGGGGTCGGACACAGGGCGCAGCTCATGCTAAGAGCTAGAAGGGGAGCTAGAGAGAACGACTACCCTGTCCCGTTATTGCGTACACCAACACCACAAAACGCTCTCTCTCTCCTGTCCTCACTCAGGGGGGGGTTACAACTACCGAGTCTCTCGACTAGCTGCCACGTTGCCGACGGCGAGAGCGAATCTCCTCCTGCTCCGCAAGGAGGGTGGCCAAGGCTAAAGTCTTGCCGGAGCCGCCAGGCGTGTTGACGACTTGGAGAAGGTCGCCCTTGTACTTGTGCTTGTAGAGATGCTCGAGGGGGTGCTTAGTGGGGCGGTGCGCAGCCAGGCCAGCAGTGAGGGGAGGCGCACCCTCACTCTCCTCGGTTGCAGAGCTCGTCGGAGGCTGCGTCACGACGGGAGGGTCGCGACAGCAGTCCTCGGGCGAGCCGACGCGCATGTCCAACCAGCGCTGGGACTCGTTGTGACGGCAGACGCCGGCTGCCTCTCTCCGCTTCTGCAGCATCCATCTTTGCCCGTGCATGGGCTCGATCCGATTCCGCAGCGTGTCGTCCCCAGCGGCGGTGCTGCGCGGGAGGCGGCCGCGGGCACGCTGGGCTCGATCAGCTTTCCCTAGCACGGATTTGGCGGACTTTCGTGGCTTCAATTTTACGTTTGTCTTGGCACCAGCTGTGAAGGCTTGCCCGGCCCAGATCACGCAGTTCGTGCACGGTATTCGGATTTTGCTATTTGTTCGTGTGGGGGTATATTGCAGATTTGTCAATGGTACCGCGTCTGCGACGCGGGCGCCTTGCGGGCAGAGCCCTTAGCCACCCTTTAAGCTTTATATCTTGCGCGGTCAAAAATCCCAAAACTGCTCCACTGGATGTGGCATCACACCCCTCTCCTTAAAAAGCCCTGTGTGGTGGCGGCGTTCCGTTCTCCCATCCCTCGCTTTCTTGTTTCCAACTTTCTTTTTCTCCACTGGAGGTGAGGTTGGTGAGCACTTTTTAGTGCTCCAAGTCGCAAGTGCTAATGCGACCTCGAATGGCGCAGTAGAGGCACCGACGAGGGGCACTCCTGAGGTCCTGCACGGGGGCGGACTATCGACTAAATCAAAAATCAAAAAGAAAAGCGGAAACCACCTTCCGCTTCCCCGCAGCAATGGACCGAGGAAGATGAGAACCCGCCTAGGGCGACAATGGCGCACTTGCTTAGCGGCGCCTGCCTGGGGAATAGGGAGCAGGCCAGATGGTTCCTCAGAGTAGCGCGAGCGCAGACGGGGACGGCGATCAGCAAAGTAGCCCAGGCGGCACCCGACTCCAAGGATACACTGAAGACGCTGAGGATAGCGCATGTCGCTGCGCTGAAGGGCTCACGCTATAGGGTGCTGGATGAGGACGGGTACGATGCACTAGCCCCAGCCGTCGGGGGGGTGTTGCCGGCGCTGGTAGATGATCTCTCGGAGAAGAGTCGGAGGGACCTTGGCGCCGGGGTTACGAGGAACTTGCAAGTCGTGGCCGAGGCGGCGACGGGAGCGGTGCAGAGGTGGATCCAGCTCAACGATGAGGCTACCGCGCGCATAATGAAGAGAGAGGAACACATTGAGTGGCTGAGGAAGCTCTTCGCAGGGTGGAAGGAGGCCCGGTCAGCCTTGAGGGAGTCGCGGAGGAGGAGGGATAACAGAGGTAACGAGGGGACAGGCCAACAGCCAGTGGGACGAACGAGGGACGCGACGGCGGCCCAAGCGGGAGGGAGCGGAGACAGTCGGCAGCGAGCGAAGTGGGTGAGACTGATGATGCTCCTTCGACTTAGGGAGCGGTTCAGCTGCTGGGCGGGCTTCAGGCTGGTGCTCACGCGAAAAGGAATCGACGCGATGTACAAAGCATACAACAAGAGGAGAAAGAAGAGGACGGACATCAGTGATGACGAAACAGAAGCTAGCGCAGACGAGGGCAGGGCAGACCCGGGGACGGCGGAGTCGGAGCAGACGGCATCGGCTGCCGAGGAAACGTTGGGAAGAGGCACGAGGAGGGCGGCGACCTCAACCGACTATGGAGGACCCGTCACCAGACGACGCAGGGCGGACGACGGGGAGGCGGAGCAGACGCGCAGGGCGAGACGAGGGAGGGAGCAGGATGTTGCGGAGATCAGCAGGAGGATGTACGACGAGATTAGGAGCAGCAGGGACCCGAGGGACCATGTGGAAGACGGCTAGTGCTAGTCCCCCATCGGGAGGACGACCCCGGCTAGTCGCCGACCACACCCACAAAGAACCCTGCACAAAGGAGACCGCAGGGCGGGGACCTGTTCCTTTTTACCCATCTCCTAGTAGAGGTGTCCGTTTTATTTATTTATTCCGCTTCCCCGCATCATTTCGTGCATGTACACGTGATTTTGATTACATGTATTGTGTGTCTTCTTATCATTTTTGCCCAACATGCAATAACACACCTGCAAAACCTCGTTCACGGGTCGGCAGCAAGAGCAACGCTGCCCTGCTGCCCAGGCAAAGTGCGCGCGCGCCTGTGGATGTCCGCCTGCTTGGCGGCATACGCCGCGTCGATGCGCGCGGACGCGCCGTAGAAGATGGCGCCGATGGCGCGTCGCGGCCGCTGCTCAGAGAGATTCGCGTCGGCGCGGTGCACCATCGTCGCCGTGTGGAGCAGCAGGTCGCCCGGCGCCGCGGGCAGCGCAAACTCGTTCTGGGCGTCGGCGGCGTCCGCGGCAGCGTCCAGCGTCTGCGAGAAGCCGATCACGCCGCTATAGTGGTGCGCTCGCACGCCGCCGGCGGCCGAGCCGCGCACGTAGCGCAGGCAGCCGTTGTCCTCGTCCGCGGGGTCGAGCGCAAGCCACGCCGTCACCGCCTGCTCGGGCGGCTGGATCATGGGAGATATGGGGAGATATGGGGAGAGATGATCTCGCCTGCTCGGGCGGCTGGATCATGAAGTAGAAGCCGTCCTGGTGCGGCGGCGTCGGCTGCGACGAGCCGCCGGCCGCGTACGCACGCCTCGGAGGCTTGTTGAAGTACTGGACGTTCTTCAAGACGACCGGCTCGCCGAGCGCTGCCTCGGCGAGCGGCGCGACCTGGCGACGGCGGAGGCGGCAGCGGCGGCGGGTGTGAGGGCGGCGGCGGCGAGGGCGGAGACGAGGGTGGCGGGGGTGGGGTGGGGTGGGGTGGGGGTGGGGTGTGTGTGTGTGGGGGGGGGGGGGGGGGGCTCCCACCGTGGAGGCGGTGCCAGGGGCTCCAATGGTGGGGGTTGCAATGGGGCTGGCCTGCTCGGCGACGCGCGCGAAGAATGCGTCGTGCGTGTGCAGCTGCTGCAGCTGCTTGAGCGTGCTCGGCCTAGGGAGTGTCTAGGGCGTGTCTAGGACGTGTCTGGGAAGTGTCTGCAGCTGCTTGAGCGTGCTATGCCGCGCGTCGTCGTCGTGCATCACGTGCTCGCGCGGCACCGCGCCCGACGCGACGAGGCGGGGGATCGCAGCCACCACCCGCTCAGCCTCCGCTCGCGCCTCTGCTGTCGCACTCGGCGAGAGGAAGCCGCGTATGGCCACGGCGCCCTCGGACTGGATGGCGGCCCGGAGCGCCTCGGGCGCACAGCTGGGCGCGAGACAGCACGCCGGCGGCAGCGCCGCCGCCGCCGCACAGCCGCCTGGGGTGGCCAGGGGTCGACTCGCGGCGGCTTCGCCCGGCGGCGTTTGGTCGCCTCCGGCTGTGAGCGCGACGGGCTCGGCGGCCGTGCGTCGCTCTCGCGCCGCGCGCGCGGCGGTCACGGCGGCGAGACCCGCGAGGATGACGCCTCCGCCGGCGAGGTCGGCGGCGGTGGGCGGCTGGTGGAGGAAGACGAAGGCGAAGACGGCGGTGAAGGTCGACTGCAGAGGGAAGAAGGCGGTGACGAGCGTCGGGCCCGCGCGCTTGTTCGCGTACGCCTGCGCCGCGTAAGTTGAAGGCGGACGTGAGCAGGAAGTGTCTCGGAAGTGTCTCGGAAGTGTCTCGGAAGTGTCTAGGAAGTGCCTGCGCCGCGTAGTTGAAGGCGGACGTGAGCAGCACGGCATACGCGAGGGCGAGCCAGCCGAGGCGCGGGAGGGCAAACGACGCCCGTGACAGCCGCGCAAACGGCAGCACCGGACCAGTGAATGCCGCGCCAGCCGCATAGCCCCAAGAGGCGACGGCCAGCGAAGGGTAGCGGCCGCCGTCGAGGCTGAGCACGCGCTTCTGCAGCAGCTGGTAGAGCGCGCCGGCGAGGCACTGCGTGCCGAGTAGGCAGTTCCCAATGAGCAGGCTGTGCTGCTGCGGCGGGTGGCCAACCCTGTTCTCTCCCGGCGCTGCGGAGCCGTACGCCAGCGCAAGCGCGGCGCCGACGGCCGCGAGGACGATACCCAGGATCGAGAGCTGGCCGTGCCATTGGCTCACGTGCAGAGGCTCCAAACCAGTGAGCGCGCCGATGAGCGCTGTGAGCACTGGCTGCGACGGCTGCAGCACCATCGCGTTCAGCGGCGTGGTGTACTTGAGGGCGATCACGAGAAACATCTGCCCAATAGTCACACCGAGAAGGCCGAGGAGTGCAAAATAGCAGAAATGGGCGCGGCGAGGGACAGCGAAGCGAGGCCCGCCGAGCCGAGCGGCGCAGAGAAGGATCACCGTCGCGCCAACGTCGCGTAGGAACGAGAAGACAATGGGATCGACGCTCTTGTCCAAGGCCGCCTTGGCCACGACGGAGTTGCCCGCAAAGGTGATTTGGACAATCACGAGCAGCAGGACGACGTGCCCGAGCGGGGTGTGTCCCCTCTGCTGGCGCTCAAGCAGCGGCGTGTCCGTGCCCATCTCAAAGTGTCGTTCGTCGTCGGCGTCGGCCGCTGTTCTTCCTTTCTCTCCTCTCCCGTGGTGGGGGCGCGAGGAGGGCGAGGGCAATCAGCGCGCTGGCTGGCGAAGTAGAGTGCCGAGCAGCTCGCCGATTGGCGCGCGCGTGCGTCCGATTTTTTTTCATTTTGGCGTCACCTTGCTTGGGGAGTCGACAGGGGGGGGGCGCGGCCTTGAGTTATGTGTACGCCAACTCAGGGTGTGTGGCAGCCAGCTGGCTGTGTGTCTTGTGAGCTTGTTTGTGTCTGTGTGTCGCTCGTGCGTGCGTGTCGTCATCATCTGTCCCGCGTCCTGACGGCGTCCACCCATACCGCGTTGGTGTCCAGTCCGAGCCTGACTGTTGTTCATCTTTCTACATACATACATCACGTTGATTCGTCTCAGTCTCACGTGAATTCGTCCCTGTCTCACTCTCAGCGTCTCAGCGGTGTCTCAATAGATCCATCACTCCGTCTCACTTCCGTCTCACTTCCTTCCGTCTCTCCTTCCTGCCGTCTCAGCGGTGTCTCAATAGATCCAATACTCCGTCTCACTTCCGTCTCACTGCAGTCTCTTCCTGCCTTCTCGTCCGTCTCAAGCGCGACAGGCTCCCGAGAGTGCCCGAGAGCGCCCGAGAGCGCCCGAGAGTGCCCGAGAGTGCCCAGATTGCCCGAGAGTACCCGTGCAACGTCGTTCGTGATGTGGTCGGGGCAGTGGGAGGCGCCCGAGAATACCCGAGATTGCCCGAGGTTGCGCGTGCTTGGGCTCCTGCCACTGCCCCGAGGTGACCACTGCACATCAGACCACATCACGAGGGCGATCTCGGGTACTCTCGGGCGCCTGCCACACTGCCCCGACCACCTCATGAGGTTGCACGGGTTATCTTGGGCAATCTCGGCACTCTCGGGAGCCTGCCGCGCTGAGACGGACGAGAAGGCAGTCAGAGACGGAAGTGAGACGGAAGTGAGACGGAGTGATGGATCTATTGAGACACCGCTGAGACGCTGAGAGTGAGACAGGGACGAATTCACGTGAGACTGAGACGACTCCCCAAAATTTCCGGGTTTTTTGAGAATTCTTTCCTCGGGAAGGAGGAGGACAAATTTCCGAAAAGAGAGATGCCCCGAAGCAAGGGCTCGGCAGCCGCCAGCAGTTCTCTCTAGGTGTCTGTTGGCAAAGCAAGACAAAACAAAACAAAAACAAGGCGTAGCGCTCACACAAAATATGGAGAACGAGTCACTTTACAGGGGTGGATTAGTGCGGGCCACCTTTTTTTTCGCGAAAAGGGTTGTGTGCCGAACTCTTCACGCTCCCCCAGCCGGCTTTTACCCAACCGCATTGGTTGAGGGGACAGCTGTTTTGCATCCGTACAGCATCCTCGGGTTACGTTCGCAGGTGGCGAATAGGCGCATGGGCGACAGCGCGACGCGGAAACCTACAGAGCCTTGCACCCTTCCTCCCTTCTCATCACTGCCCCGGCGCCCACGTCTCGATCTTCTTCGGCAGCAGCTGGATTGACAGGTCCTCCCCGTGGCCTAGGCGGCCGTGTTCGCCCTTGCCCCAGCTCCAGACAGCTCCGTCGGCGGTGATGGCGATGTTGTGGTGCTCTCCAGCCGACATAGCGACGACGCGCCGACCAGCCAAAGCCTCAACCTGCTTCGGTAGCAGCTGGTTCTGCTGATCGCCGTGGCCCAGCTGGCCAAAAGCTCCCCAGCCCCAGCTCCAGACAGCGCCGTCGGCAGTGAGGGCGAGGCTGTACGCCACTCCAGTCGACACGGCGACGACGCGCTGGCCAGCCAACGCCACGATCTTCTTGGGCAGCAGCTGGCTTTGCTGGTCGCCGTGGCCCAAGCGGCCTAAGCCTCCCAAGCCCCAGCTCCAGACAGCGCCATCGGCGGTGAGGGCAAGGCTGTGCAGACCTCCAGCCGACACGGCGAGGACGCGCTGGCCAGCAAAGGCCTCGACTTTCGTCGGCTGCCACTGGTCCTGCGCGTCGCCGTGGCCCAGATGGCCAAAGCCTCCCTGGCCCCAGCTCCAGACGGCGCCGTCGGCGGCGAGGGCGAGGCTGTGGCCGCCTGCAGATGACACAGCGACGACGCGCCGCCCAGCCAAGGCCTCAACCTGCTTCGGCAGCAGCTGGCGCTGCTGGTCGCCGTGGCCCAGCTTGCCATCCCTTCCATTGCCCCAGCTCCAGACACTGCCATTGGCGGTGAGGGCGAGGCTGTGGCTATATCCAGCCGACACAGCGACGACGCGCTGACCAGCAAAGGTCTCGACCTGCTTGGGCAGCAGCTGGTTCTGCTGGTCGCCGTGACCCAGCTTGCCTCGCAAACCATCGCCCCAGCTCCAGACGGCCCCGTTGGCGGTGATGGCGATGCTGTGCGCGGCGCCAGCCGACACGCTCACAGCGCGCTCGCCCTGCGTCGGGAGGCGGGTCGGCGTGTTGAGCCGCGTCACGCCCTCGCCGTGACCGAGCAGCCCTGGGAAGACTGCCTCACAGCCGCACGACGAGAGCCGCCCCTCGCCGTCGATGAAGAGGCTGTGCCGTTCGCCTGCCGCCGCCCTCGCTGGCGGGTTGGTCTCGCACAGCAGCGCCGAATAGCACAGCCACCGCACGGCGCAGACCTCGCCCTCTGGTAGCGCCGGCAGCTCGAAGCCGCGCTCTTGCGCCCACAAGCGGATGCCCTCCACCGCAAGCGAGGCGTGGAAGAGGAGCGAGACGGCCGCGGCGCGAGTGATGTCGACGGGGTCGCAGCGAGAGACGACGCGCACGAGGAGGTCCATGGGGAGGTCGAGGAGGCGGGCGGGCGGCGGCGTGCTCGGCGAGGGAGCGGCGGCGGCGGCGGAGGCGAGGCGGCGCGAGCGGCGCCGCTGGCTGGACATCGGTGTACTTTGGATCGCGAGAAAAAGAATTCAACTCGGCGCAGCGTTCTCGTACCCCGGCTTTCATCATAAGAGACCTCCTAGGATGGGAGTAGCCGCATGCGCACCAACCGCTCCATCAGCTCGGGCAGGTCGGCTGTAGCGCTCGGCCGGACCTTGCGCCAACCAACGACGCGTTCGCACAGCTTCCACGCCCACCGCTGCGAGGACCACCGCGTGGCGTCGGCCCATCCTCACCTGCTTCGATGTCCACGGTGACTGCCTTCGACATTGCAGCGAAGTCGATTCCGGCGCGGCTGGGCGAGGTCACTGCGTTTCTGCGTTCTTGGCCACAGCTGGAAGGACGAGGAAGAGATCCCCGGCGCCAAGTACACGGCGATAGCACAATGGGCCCATTGCCAACGGCGCGAAACGGGGCACGAACCCACGCTGTGGCTGGTGCGCGCTTGCCCCGGGTGGAGCGGTCCCGGGCAAAGGAAAAGGAGGCGCACCAACACCAGTCCCCCCCCCCCCCCCCCCAGGACAAGGCCTGCATTGACCAGACCAACATTGATCAAGCGCTCACGTGCCTGCCAATCTTCCTCGCCGGCTGCCAGAGGCTGCTCGTTGTGGCGGGGCCGACCTTCTGCCGCCGCCTCTGGGTGAGAGTGGCCGCTATAACACTGCCGCCGCCGACACACACACACAATCTTCCGCGCATGCCCGCTGCTTGATCTCTAATAATGTATAGGACTGAGCGGCCTCCCCCACCACCCCACCCTCTCAGTGTTTGCTCGAGATCTTCACGTTCCTCCGCATGGGGGGCTCCGTCGAGCGGATCGAGGTCCTATTCATTGCCGACCCGCGCAAGGATCCAGCCCAAGCGCAGGCGGAGCTCGCGGCAACGTTTGAGAACTTCGACGCGGCCAAGGCAGAGTGCTTCTTACCCAAGGACCGCGAGCGGCTTCTGGCGGTGATCGAAGCGGGCTTTGGGGACGTTCGTGAATTCAACAAGATCGTGCGCCGAATCTTCGCGGGGCGCCACACCAGTCAGGCAGTATAAGCAGCATGTGTCCTCAAGCCGTCCAGCTTCATGTTAGAGTGTACGGGCGCGGTGTGCGCTGCGTGCTACTACATGTACGGCAGTGTCGTGCACCGGGCACCCGTCAAACGAGTAAGGTGGCTGGCGGACGGCGCCCGTGCGCACACGGCGAATTTGAAAAAGATGAAAATAAAACACATGACAACATACACATACATACATTCATTCATGACTCTCAGTCAGCGCTTTGATCCCAATCGCGACACATGTGTGAATCGCCTTGTTGTCCTAGCACGGGAGTACCCGTGTGGACCGGAGGTAACAGCAGCAGCGTTACGCGGCCAAAGGATATCCACCTCGAGAACCTCGAGAACAGCAGCAGCAGCATCAGAAAAATAAAACAAGTCGCAGCAGCGTGTCATGATCAACCTTGTTTTCCGGCCGCAGCTGGCCGGCCGCATGGCCGCAAACACCGAATGGCGGCTTCGCTCCTCTCGCACGGACTTCCATCTTGGGCTTGCAGCCCCGCGCTTGGACTACCTGAAGGTTGGGCTGCCAGCCCAGACAGCCCCTCCACTCGATGCTTCGGCATCCCTCCCGAGCTTTCGCCCTCGCTGAGCGGCTGTGTGGAGCTGTGCGCTGCTCGAGGGTCAACGCCAGCGTGTATTCGGTCAGCTGCGGAGAATGATGTTGCGGCCACGCTCATTGGAGATGGCGTGCCGGTCTGGCTCGGCCTCTACCAGCATGACACGAGCCGAGAGCCTGTAGAGGGGTGGGGTCGGTGCGTGGACGGCGATGCGCCGTCCTTCACCGCCTGGGCGGCTGGGGAGCCAAACGACTACATCCGTCGGTCCCCTCAAGATTGTGCTGTCATGCCCCATCCAGGGAAAAAGGGCAAGTGGGGAGACAGGGCATGCAGTGGGGGGCAATACGCCTGCCTGTGCGCTGGCCCGTCAACCGTCTCGGACAACTTCAAACAGGACCTCGTAAAGCTCGAGGCCGACCTGGAAGCGAGGTTGCACGAAATCCGGGCCGCAGTGTCAAAGCTGTACGCCGTCGCTACCGTGATCGCCCTGCTGCCTACGCTTCTGATGGTCGGACTGACCCTTCTCCAGCTGGCCATCAACCAGCGAACACGTACAGCTCTGGTTGGAGTCGCGCGCAACACGCAGGAGCTCGCCTCAGCACGGATGGCGCGCTGGCTCCTCCAGGCGCGTCGCTCGGCGGTACGGCGGCGGCTGCAGGTGAGCGGCGCGATGGGGCAAATTGGGTGGGCGCTCGTCGTGTATGGGATCTTGCCAGTCGCTATGAGCATCAGCGCGGCGACCCCGATCGACAAGATTGTGGGAGAAGAGGACTTCTGGCGTATCCCGGTGGTGGTGGGGTTCTTCTTCGGCCTGCTCGCCCTCTTCCCCACCGATGAGCGCGCGATTCGCACTATATGCACCGTCTTCCTCACCTTCTACCTTGGTCTCGCTTACCTGTACGCCCATGGCTGCATCGAGATTTCCACTCCCTCGGTGTCCCACCGTTCGCAGTGCCAAAGGTTCTTTCTGCCTAAGATCGTGGTGCACCTCAGTGCGTCCGCGGCGCTCGTCGCCACACTGCCATGTGGCGGCTGCAAACGCCTACCAGTCATGCAGCCACGCCAAGCACTCCATCGCATGTGGGCGGTCTTGCGCCTCCACTCCGCCTGTGATGGGATGATTTACGTTGGCTTCTTCTCAGCTGTGCTAGCCGAACACCCAGAGTGGTCAGGTGCAGGGCTACTATCCGTACGATCGGCTTGGGCTGGTGACATCATATTCGGTGCCGTCTCGCTCGCTATCGCCGCCCTTGCAACTCCCGCTAATCGCGGCCGGGTGACTCGCTGGCTTGGGCGTCTCGGTAGCCGCGGCAGTGAGGCGGAGGAGGCGGCAGCCATCGCGATGCTCCTCGGCCGCGCCAATCCGGAAAGAGCGCTCGCTGCCGCAGAGGCGCTCTTCCGCTGCCTGCCTGCGAGCCAACTCACTGCCGATGATCTGGCTGATTCCGGGGCTACTGGCTCGAGACGAGCCTCACGACCGGCTTCGATGTCCGCGGTGACTGCCTTCGACATTGCAGCGAAGTCGATTCCGGCGCGGCTGGGCGAGGTCACTGCGTTCTTGAGCCACAGCTGGAAGGACGAGGAAGAGGTCCCCGGCGCCAAGTACACGGCGATAGCACAATGGGCTCATTGCCAACGGCGCAAATCGGGGCACGAACCCACGCTGTGGCTGGTGCGCGCTTGCCCGGCAAAGGTACTAACACGAGGCGCACCAACACCAGTCCCCCCCCCCCCCCCCCCTCCCCACCCATCGCTCCGGCGCTCGCCCCTCGCGGCGGCTCTCCCGCAGGTAGCAGTTGACAGCTGTCTCTGCACCCCACAGGCGAAGCCGCCCGAGCTCGTCGAGGCGTACGCCACAGGCAAGGCCGACTACTACGGCCTGTACCGCCGAAAGTTCGCGGGCGAGGACGTCAACCTCTGAGGCGGCTGGCTGCTCCTGAGATGTGCCCGCGCACTCGCGGCCGAGCCAGAGCCGTGGTCCACCCTCTCTCACACCGCGCCGCTAGTTTCTCGTGCCCGTGCTCCCTCTCCGCGCTTCCACGTGATGCCTGTGCGTGAGTGTCGAGAGGCGGCGCGGCGGGCCTGCTCTGCTGTCGACCCAGCCTGACGCTGCCCTCCGCTCGAGAAGACCTCCGTCGTGAGTATGCTCTTGTAGTCTCTTAGTGCTTATGGGTGTCTGTGGACCCCTCGCATGGACATGAGTGCGTCGGGCCGGCGTGACACAATTGTGTGAGTCGTGCGAGCACCGCGTCGTGACAGTCGTGTCTTTGTGACTGTCGCCTCGTGTCCACTCGTGCGGTGCGGTCCGGCCCGATTGCCAACATGTTAGGTGAGTCGTTATTACGAATCACATGTACATGTGACATGTGCGTCGCGTCCGTTTTGCAATCGTCGCCGCGCGCGTCCTCACGGCACAGGTACAGGTACTACAGACGCTCGATCGCACACTCTCTCGATCTTTGCGGGGAGGTCGGTGGCGTCGGTGGCTCGGACGAACCCGCCGATCGCTCCGAGTCGAGGTCGGGATCCAAATCCGTCCTCTCCCGCTGGACCGCCACCCGACGAGGGCCAAATCGCCACCGCAATCGGCCGCGGCAGGCGGCAAAGACGGAGCTTCGCAGCGGCCGCGCGCCCATGTCGTAAAGGGCCTGCCTGAGAGAGACCGCGCGCAGCTCCGCCGTCTGGTACAGCGGCACTGCAATCGTGTCAAAGAGCTTGTACGGCGCCAGCTGTAGCTCCCTCGGCGCGAGGTCGAATAGTTCGCAGAACTGGCACGCCTCGCGCCCCCCGTCCTGCTCGTGCAACAGCGTCACCGGGACGCCGCGCTCCAGCACGAGCCTCAGCGTCGCGGCCGTGGCCGGCTGGCTGAATGTGGCCGAGTTTAGGTAGAGGAGCAGCCGTCCGGAGCGAGAGAGGTCCGCCCCGCCCCGACGCAGCGCGCTCTCCGCAGCCTCGACCGCCACGCCTTCGCCCCGGCGGGGGTCGACGGCGCCCGCCACCTCGTGCGCAGCCGCGAGGCCGCCGGCATTGGTCGTGATGGCGAGGATCGTCATGGGAGACGCAAAGCTGACGGACCGCATCTCGCCAAAGACGCGCAGCCCGCCCGTGATCTCCTCATTGCGGTCGCGGTAGTAGGGGCTGCGCTTCAGCATTCGCAGCGCGATCATCTTGAGCGACTCGAGCTGAAACACGTGCAGCCGCACCCAATCCACCGGTGCCTCTGCAAACACGCGGCCGAGAACAGCATCAGCAGGCGCCTCGGCCCCCGCCTCGAAGGCGCAACCCTCGCGGCCCTCGGTCCATAAGCCTTGCACGCTGAGGGCTCCCTTTGCTTGCTCCGTCTCCCGCACCGCGATGACCGGCTTCGAGGCGGCGTGCGCCGCGTACAGCTCGCGCCGGCAATTCCTGCGGCGAGAACACGACGCGTGTGCGTGGTGGGAAGAGCACGACTTGAGTCCGGGGCGGGAAACGAAAGGGCCTGCTCTTGAAATAGCCCTGGCTCAAGAAGACGATGAAGACGCTGCTCCCGCCGACGGCCGACTCGAGGCTCGCAACCTAGTCGTGCTCGAGTCGAGTGAGAGGACACGGGCGGGCGAGGCGGGCTCTTCAAGCAGGAGAGACGACCGACTGCATGTTTTCAATGTCGAGCCAGAGACAAATCCCGGGCAGCAACATCTGGAGCCGGCGGACGATTGTGGCGGCCTGGTCCTGACCCGTGGACCAGACGTGACTCACGAAGCCGTCGTGCTCGCACCCTTCACTCAGCTCGAGCGCGGGCTCGAGCCCCGAGCTCACCAGCCGGATGGTGGGGCTCGCGCTCGCGGTGGCAATGTTCATCGCCACCACAAGCACCGCCACGACGAGCATCGTGATCGAGAGCACGCCCACCAGGACGGTCGCCTCGTACGAGCCGGGGAGGCCGGTGTAGTAGGCGCAGCTATAGTCGACAAAGGCGCCGCTCTCGTCGCACAGCTTGATGACGATGCCCGAGGTGAAGCAGCAGATGAGCAGGAAGTTGCTCATGCACGCAAGGTAGAGATCATCAGAGCGCTTGAAGGGGCGCATGAGCGCGAGGACGGTCAGGTAGAGCGCCGAGATGAAGACGGCCACCACAAGGCGGAGCAGGCGCGCGTTGCCATTGTTCTCGTCGACGAAGAAGACGAACGTCGTCAGGAACAGCTTACGCAGGAGATCAACTATCTCCCAGTATATGAAGGGCGCATTGTAGTCGCGCCAAAGGAAGGCCGTCGAGTTGGCGAGCATAGACGGGCGCCGAGAGCGGACGGAGCGGCGAACGTGCAGCACGAGGAGGAAGAAGGCGAGCGGGACGAGGACGGGCCACAGGACAAAGAAGGTCCAGAATACGGGCTCGATGGCCTCATCGCTCCCGCACTTCACACCCACGTTGTCCTCGAGGTAGCGGACCGTCTCGCCCTTGGGGTCGTCATCGAGCCGGAACTCGAGGCAGCGGATGCTGGCGCCCACGAATAGGCCGCGCGAGACCACCGGCAGCGCGAGGTAGAAGATGACGATCGTCGCAAAAATCGACCGGCGCAGCGGCTTGTGCCACCACGGCTTCCGAGGCCGGTTGCGGCGCGAGAGGCTCCGCGGTGATGACAGGCTCACCTCGCAGCCGCTGCGGCGGCTCGAGTGGGGCGAACCCTTGGAGCGGCTATCGTGCGCGATGAGGGCCTGCTCCACCGCCGCATAGATCCAGATCCAAATCAGTGCAAAGACCAGGGCACCATACGGCCAGACCTGTGGGAGGGCGGGCATAGCCAGGTCGGGGTCACGCAGGAGGGCTGGGTGTGCGGCTTGGTGGACGTGGCCGAAGGCCGCCTCCAGGTACGCGAGCCGCAGGCCCATGCTGCGGATGCAGTCGTGCGGGAGAGCGAGCTTGCCGAGGAGGTAGTCGAGGTCGACAACGGCAACAAAATCCAGCCACTCGGTGAAGGCGCGGTGGACGCGCACGTCGTACGCCTCGCGCAGCCGCAGCACGTTGATTACTTGGTAAAAGGAGACGAGGATCTTGAGCTTGGGCTGCAGTCCTAGCAGCGCGACCACGCGGAGGAGGTGCCGCTTCGCGCGCTGTAGACTAGCGTTATCGATGCGCCGCAGGCGTTCGATGCAGAGGGCGAGCATCGATGCGCCGCCGATGACGACACCGACAAAGACAGCCAAGTAGGTTGGCGGAGGGCAGCTCTTGCAGCCGTTGACACCATCAAAGTACGAGCCGCTCTCGACGCAACCCTCGCACAGCGCGCCCTTGTGCCCCTCGACGCAATACCTGGAGGCCGGCGAGGATTCCGAGCCGTCCCCTCCGAGGCACGGCGATGCGAGCTCTCCGTCAGACACCTCGACGTCCCACAATGTGCACTTGTGAATGTCGGTCGTGCGCTTCGAGGCACGCCAGTAGTTGTGGGGAAGGTCAATGGTCTCGATGGTGGTGTTGCGCGGGCAGGCCTGGTGGCCGAGCTGCTGCCACTCCCGCCCGGATCCCTCCCCCTCTGGACACTCCTTGCAGTACAATTCCGGCTCTTTAGAGACATCTTCCGGATCCGCTCCGGGCTCTGAGAGGTAAAAGCCAACGTCGCAGAAGCCGCAGAGACTGCTGCCATTCGTGCTGCTGAGGCGATGCGGGCAGTCACTGCAAAAGCTCGCCCTCTCCGTGGGCGAGTAGCTGCCCGCATTGCAGGGGTAACAACGTTGTTTGCCCGACGCTTCCTGAAACTCGCCCGCGCTGCAATCGGTGCACGCGGACGAACTGTGCTCGTAGCTAAAGGTGCCACTCGGGCACTCAACCTGGTTGGTACTCTGCAGCGGGCAGTAGAAGCCGGGCTCGCAGTTATTGCACTGCTCCGGCCCGGTGAGGTTGGTGAGGCTCGAAAATGTGCCCTCCGGGCAAGGTTGCTGCGACGACGACGCGCAGCTCTCGTCGTCGGTACTAGAGTCGGCGCACGGGCAGTAGTTTCCTTCCGTGCAGTGCTTGCATTCGGCCTCCCCCTCCAAGTCCTGGTAGGTGCCACGAGGGCAGGGCTTGCACGCCGTCGCCCCCGGCTCATCGGAGTAGGTTCCGAGCGGGCAGTCGTCGCAAGGGTCGGGGCCATCCTGCCCGTTGTCGCTGAAGGTCCCGTTACCACATTTTTCACGGGGCGGGCTCGGCGGAGGAAAGACGGGGGGCGGCCCTGCTGGAGGCGGAGGCAAAGAGGGAGGTAGCGGTGGGCTAGGCGGTGGGGGATTGGACGGTGGCGGAGTCGGTGGGGGAGGCGATGGGACGGGCAGCGACGGCGGAGAAGGTGGCGGCGCAAACTCGTTGCTGAAGCCGCACGTGCTGTACGAGTAGTGCAGGGTGGCCCCCACCGCGTACGCGGTCGGGCTGTACTCGGTGTTGCACGCGGCCGGGTCGACGTAGCACCACTCGTGCTCGCACCAGCCGGGGTACTCGGTCGAGTTGCAGGACGGCTCGAGCCCGCTGTCGTGCTGGCCGCACTCGTGGAGGCCGTACGTGTCGGGGTACGCGAGGCTCACGCCGTCCACGACGACCTGCAGCTCGTCGCTCACGAGGCTGACGTTGGCCGGGTAGGCGGTGAGGCACGGGCAGTTGAGCGGCGGCGAGGGAGGCGGTGGAGAAGGTGGAAGTGGCACTGAGGGTGGCGGTGGATATGGTGGCAGTGAGGGAGGCGGTAGTGGCGGCGGCGGTGATGGCGGCAGTGGCGACGGTGGCGCTGACGGCGGCGGCGGCAGCGGCGGCGGTGACGGCGGCGGCGGTGACGGCGGCGGCGCGGCGCGAAGGAGGACTGCGTATGCCTCCCTGATGTACGTGTCGACCGCGTGGTCTGAGGAGATAGTGCATCCCTTCTCCACCTCGCCACTCTCCTCGTCTATGAACCCATCATAGAACCCGCAGCAGTACTCGCGTCTGTATCCTCGGGTGGCCGCCTCGCACATGCACCAATCACGACAGCTGTCCCATGTCAGCTCCACGGTTGACGCACATGGCTCCGTCGCGTCGTGGTCTGCCCGTTTCGTGGTCACAACATCATCACAGGATCTACCCCACAGGTCCTCGACGTGGTCAAGGGAATCTTCAACCTCGAGCAGGGAGACCACGGCCTCGGTCGTCAGCATCGCCGTGTCGCCGTCCTCGGAGATGATGCATTCGCAGTCGCCGGAGACGCAGGGGCCGGAGATGCCCGAGCAGCAGTACTGCTCGGAATACCCCGCATCAACGGCCGTTTGTGCACACCAGGTCGGGCAGTCAATGATGCTGTCCCCCAAATACGCTGTGTCGTGAGTGGAGGCGCATGTGGAGCCGGCGACAGCGGCGCCGGGAGAGGGCGAAGACGGCGGCGCCGGCACGGCTTCTGTGGCGTCGAGGAGGAGAGACACGAGCGCATTATACACGCCAGCGCACGCCAGCGTACGGGCGCGCGCCCTTCCTTCGAGCCCATGCGCCCGAGACATCTACACGATTGTCCACTTGTTTTGCTGTTTCGCCCGCCGGCCCCCCGAAGGCGGCGGCGGTTGCGGCGGCGGTTGCGGCGGCGGTTGCGGCGGCGGTTGCGGCGGCGGTTGCGGCGGCGGCGGCACTGGGAGCGAGGCCACCGAGGGCATCGGCATCGGTGGCACCGGTGGCACGACGGATGGCACGTAGGGCGGCACGTAGGATGGCACGAAGGACGGCGTGACCGGGAGCGACGTCGGCAGCGAGACTGGCACTGGTGCAAACGACGGCAAGGCAGAAGTAATGGACGGCATCGGCGGGACGTGGGACGGCGTTGATGGGATCGAGGGCAAAGGCGCAAACGACGGCAAGGCAGAAGTAATGGACGGCATCGGCGGGACGTGTGGGACGGCGTGACGGGGATCGAGGGCAAAGGCGCAAACGACGGCAAGGCAGAAGTAATGGACGGCATCGGCGGGACGTGGGACGGCGTGACGGGGATCGAGGGCAGAGGCGCAAACGACGGCAAGGCAGAAGTAATGGACAGCATCGGCGGGACGTGGGATGGCGTGACGGGGATCGAAGGCAAAGGCGCAAACGACGGCAAGGCAGAAGTAATGGACGGCATCGGCGGGACGTGGGACGGCGTTGATGGGATCGAGGGCAGAGGCGCAAACGACGGCAAGGCAGAAGTAATGGACGGCATCGGCGGGACGTGGGACGGCGTGACGGGGATCGAGGGCAGAGGCGCAAACGACGGCAAGGCAGAAGTAATGGACGGCATCGGCGGGACGTGGGACGGCGTGACGGGGATCGAGGGCAGAGGCGCAAACGACGGCAAGGCAGAAGTAATGGACGGCATCGGCGGGACGTGGGACGGCGTTGATGGGATCGAGGGCAGAGGAGCAAACGACGGCAAGGCAGAAGTAATGGACGGCATCGGCGGGACGTAGGACGGCGTGGCCGGGAACGACGCTGGCAGCGAGACAGGCAGGGAGATCCCGGGTAGCGATGCTATCGAGGGTTCCGTTGGGAGAGAGATCGGCTCGGGTCCTGGAGGGAGAGACATTGGCAGGCTGCCCACGGGAAGCGACAACGGGTCGGGTCCGGGTGGGGCTTGCGGGAGAGCCGGTAGGCTGCCGATCGGCAAGCCGTAAGAGTTTCCGTATGGGTCAAGTACGTCAAGCCGCCGCCGCTGCCAGGCGTCTTCGCGGGGCGCACCGCCGCCTGGAAGAGGGAAGCGCGCGATGGCGAGCTCCAGGTCGAGGGCGAGCTCCAGGTCGAGGGCGAGCTCCGGGTCGAGATCGTCGGGGCCTCCGAGGTTCGGCACGAGGTGCGTCGCGCCGCCGAGAGCGTACACGGCCGCCTCGTAGCCCAGCGAGGCGGCGGAGCCCGACTCGGGGAGGGGCTCGCACGTCTTGAAGAAGGCGCAGACCGCCCACAAACTGCTGTCGTCCCGCGAAGTCTCAAAGACGGTGCAGTCGTCCGTCGAGGCGCAGCGGCGCGCGCACTCGACCTGGGGGTTGAGGGGGGTAATCTCTCATTCTCGGCCCCGATTTCCCGGCAGCTAGGGTATGTGCTTCACAGCTGTGCTGCCTATTATGATTTGCTGTGTTCGCAGTGGTGCTACTATCACGATTTGCTGTGTTTAGCAGTGCTGTGCGGAGATGCGCGCCAGCTGCGCCTCCCACCACAGTGAGAACGCCTCGTCGTTCGCGCCGCGCATCTCCGCCATGTCCATCTCCATCGCGTCGCCGACTTCATGAGGATCTTGCTCGCACGCCGTACTAAGCAAGTGAAGATGAAATTGCGGCGACGGGTCGCCGTGCGCTGCCGCAAGAAGCAGAGGAGCGAGGACCAACATGGGGTGCCGTCGGCGTGGCCCTCGTGCTCAAAGTCCGCGGTTGTCCCTCAACTCGTGTCACGTTTCTCTTGTTTCTTTTCGACTGCGAGAGAGAGTTGTTTTGTTTAAATTCTTTTCGACTCCGAGCTACGTAACGCTGACGGTCCCCGCACCCGGACCCGCGACATACGTTACGCGGCAAGGGCCAAGGCGCTAGGACCTGCCTGCCAGTGCTGTCAATACCATCCGGAGTTTGCGGGCTCGCTCGCTCTTTCGCTCAGATGCATGGACAAGTAGCCGCTGCGGCCCACCCATCAACACTACTACCACGCCCAAACCACTGACTGTGCGGCAGATGGCGCACAGGCGCTGTTGAGCTGTATGAGATATTTCGAGGTGGGCGCGCGCGCGGATGGGCACATGGGGGTTTTGGAGCGGCGCTGTATACTTTATGTCATCTCTAGGGTTGCCTAACGTTAAGAGCTGAACAGTGTTGCTAGTGTTAACAGTAACAACAGAACAACAGTGGGGACCCCCAACAACAGTAGCTAACGTTAGGCCGACTGAACAACAGTAAGGAAGGCCTGGCAGTGACCCACGACGATCTCTAGTGTCCAGTGCGGGTAATACCCGAAAATACCCGGAAAATCCCGGGTATTTTCGGGTTTTACCCGGGTTTTTTGCCATTTTCTGCTTGCTGGCCGCTGAACAACAGTAACAAACAGTAACAAACAGTAACAGCATGGGCTGGGGTGAACACTTGAACAACGTTGAGGATTTCAGCCAACAATAGCGCAACTGTTAGGATTAAAACGTTAGGCAACCCTAGTCATCTCGCCGACGGCTGCGAACTTGCGCGCGCCCTTTTCTCAATACAACAGCCCCGCAAAAAAAAAGACGTCAGCTGCGCCGCCGCGCCGCCCAGCGAGACTGCACAAACTCCAGTCTCGAGGACACCCTATCTCTCGTCTCTCCTCTCTCTCCCGCGGCGCCTGCCCCCCCCCCCCCCCCCCCCCCCGTCGAATCACGCGGACGGCGCCGAGGCGAAGGCGGCCTCGTCTGTGAACTCGGCCGTGATTTGCTTGCCCGCGAACCAGCGGCTGTGCATGGAGGAGGCCGCCTTTGTGGCGGAGCCCGTCGAGTCGAACTGCAGCAGCACGTGTCCCTGCGACGCCCTGTCCACCTTGGCCGCCTCGACCTTGCCAAACTTGCCGCACTCCTCCATGATGTCCTCGCGCAGGTCGCCGAAGAAGTCCGGGTCGCTCGTCTCGTCCTTGCCGGCCGGGTCGAACATGTTTTTGAGCAGCACGTACGGCGACGGCGCCGCCGAGCCGATCCGCGCGAGCAGCGCCGCCCGCTCGGCCCCGATGTTGTCTTCGACGCCCGCGCCTATTCACAGCTCGGTGGGTGTGAAGAGGCGCTGTTCACACCGCTCGCCCGATATTGTCTTCGACGCCCGCGCCGCCGCCGCCCATCATTAGGTGAGCCCCGAGCCCAAGCCCAGGCACGCCGCCCAGCACGCCCGAGAGCGCGGACCCCATCCCGCCTGTCCCATGTGCGAACACGTGAAGTGAGAGGAGTGTGTTGTCGCGACCGCGTGCAAGGCGGCATCGAGCTCGCGGCGGCGACCCGTGCGCGCGTGGCGAGGGGCGACGCGACGTCCGGCGCGGGCGGCGTGGAGCGCGGCGGTGGGAAAGCCTCGGCACAGCGCGCCGCGGTGCGGAAGAAGGCCGTGTCACGCCGGCGGAGAGGGCGGAGGGGGCGGAGAGGGCGGAGGGGGCGGAGAGGGCGGCTGTCTGGGCCACATCTCGGCGGTCTCTCTGCCACATCTCGGCGGCATCTCTGCCGCATCTCGGCGGTCTCTCTGCCACATCTCGGCGGTCTCTCTGCCACATCTCGGCGGTCTCTCTGCCACATCTCTCGGCGGTCTCTCTGCCACATCTCGGCGGTCTCTCTGCCACATCTCGGCGGTCTCTCTGCCACATCTCGGCGGTCTCTCTGCCACATCTCGGCGGTCTCTCTGCCACATCTCTCGGCGGTCTCTCTGCCACATCTCGGCGGTCTCTCTGCCACATCTCTCGGCGGTCTCTCTGCCACATCTCGGCGGTCTCTCTGCCACATCTCGGCGGCATCGCGGCTATCTTTGCCGGCGGCGATGGCGGAGAGGGCGGCGGGCAACTCCGCCATAAAGGAGACGGTGATGTTTCGTCCCGCGAGCTCGAGCCCGTGGATCGCCGCCTAGGGTTCGGGTACATGAGGGGTAGGGGATGGGATCTGGGTACTTGGGGGGGGGGGGTAGGCCCGTGGGTCGCCGCGTAGAGGCAATCTCGCGCAATCTCGGGTGAGCTCGGAGTGACCTCGCCGCGTGGCCGCGGCCCCTCTGGGCTGCTGACAGGGTTCGGGTGCTGGAGGGGTAGGGGATAGGATCTGGTACCGGGGGGGGGGGTAGGGGAGGGTAGGGGGTGGGCGTGCGCCTGCGCGTCCCGCGCGTCGCTCGGTCGCTGGAAGGTGATGTACGCGGTGCCTAGAAGTCTCGCCCCGAACGCCGTGAGGAGGGGGTCGGGCACCCACTCTGGCCACTTGCGATGGGCACGCGGCGCCGAGGGCTCCCTCTGCGCCGCCGGCGTTCGGCTGCATCTCAACGCTCGTCAGCTCGCCAAACGGCGAGAAGACCTCTTTGAGGTCGTCGGCGGCGATGTGCGGGTGCAGGTCTGACACCATCAGCTTGCGCGGCTCCTCGGGCGCTGCTGGCTCGCCGCCGCCCATCATCGCGCTCGCGGCGGCGACGTTCTTGGCGGCCTGCGGAGGCGGCGGAGGAGGCGAGGGTCGCGTGAGAGGGAGGGGGAGAGGGACACGGGGGGGAGGGAGCGAGGGAGAGGGGCAAGGGAGGGAGAGCGGGAGAGAGTGGGAGAGGGAGGGAGGGAGGGAGAGAGAGCGCGGGAGAGAGAGAGAGAGAGAGAGAGAGAGAGAGAGAGAGAGAGAGAGAGAGAGAGAGAGAGAGAGAGAGAGAGAGAGAGAGAGAGAGAGAGAGAGAGAGAGAGAGAGCAGGAGAGAGAGCAGGAGAGAGAGGGCGGGAGGCTGAGGCAGAGAGCGGGTGGCGGCCGCCTGCGCGAGTCGGTTCTTCTCGGCCATCGAGGCTTGCACGAGCAGTGGCTGGCCCTTGAAGGCGATGCCGTTGAGGGCGAGCGCGCGCATCACCTGTGAGGAGGGCGGTGTGAGGAGGGCGGTGTGAGGAGCGCGGTGTGAGGAGGGCGGTGTGAGGAGCGCGGTGTGAGGAGGGCGGTGTGAGGAGGGCGGTGTGAGGAGCGCGGTGTGAGGAGGGCGGTGTGAGGAGGGCGGTGTGAGGAGGGCGGTGTGAGGAGGGCGGTGTGAAGACGGGTGTGAAGAGAGCAAGAAGGGGAGGGGGGTGGGGGGGAGGATGGCGGGGTGGGGGAGGGCGGGTGGGGAACGGCGGAGCGGGGCGGGGGTGACTGGCGCTGCGGCCGACTCCACGCCTCCCTCCTCCCACCCGGGGAAGCGCGAGTGTCTCGGAGGAGTCAAGAGTGGCATGGTTGGCGGCGTCTGCGTCACCGACTCGACGTCCCCATACTCGACGTAGCCCACGCCCTTGGACTTGCCCGAGCGCTGGTCGCGGATGAGGCGGATGTCGCGCACCTTGCCCGCCTGCGAGAAGAACTCGAAGATCTCGAAGTCGTCCGCCTTGGGGTGGATCCGCTGCACGAGCACGGTCAGGTCGTCACGCATCGCCTCCTCGCGCTCGCGCATGACCGGATCGGGGCTCGGCGAGCGCCGCCGCCGCCGGTCGGGGCTGGGAGAGCGGCGGCGGCGGCGGTCGGGGCTCGGCGAGCGCCGCCGCCGCCGGTCCGGGCTCGGCGAGCGGCGGCGGCGGCGGTCGCGGTCCTTGTCGTCGCTGCGCCGCCTGTCGTCCCTGTCGCGGTCGCCGCGGTCGCGGTCGCGAGGGGGCTCCGGCTGACGGCCGGCGCGCTCCTCGTCCACAGGCTTTTCGATGAGCTTCTCCACCTCCTCCATCTCTGTCACACGGACAATAGTGCCAGGCTCGCGCCGCGCCTTCGCCTCTACTGTGAACAGAGGGGGGCGAGGAGCCGAGGAGTAGGTCTTTTTTTGACTACGTGAACACATCGTCTCCTCGTTTTTTGAAGATACGCGAAAATGGAACGCAAGTTTTGTGTCTCCCAGTGTGTCTCCTTGGGGAGCGTACGGGGCGTCCAACGACTTTAGAGGCAATGGTGAAAGATGGGAGGAGGAGGGAGAGGAGAGGCAGAGGAGAGAGGAGGGGGAGAATGAATATTCACGGACGGACGAGTCGGTGTTGATCGTCCGCATGATCGGCGAGCAGTCAGACGGCCGGGGCTGCAGCAGGCGCCGGCCTTGATGCTGGAGGGCGAGGCCGAGGCTCCTGAGCTGGCGCAGGCCGCTCCGTCGCCCGAGGGACCGGCAGACGCGGCCGAGGCGCCTGCGCCGAGCAGCAGCAACAGCAGCGGCGCCCAGGGGGGCTCTGCGCAGACGGCCTCTGCGGCTGCTGCACCGGAGCCAGTGGCGACGTCGTCGGGCCAGCCGTCGTCGTCAGGTCCCTCCTCGCCCCACTCTCCTGCTGCGGAGGAGACGCGCATCTGCTTCCCCTTCCTCAACCGAGGGGTCTGCAGCTTTGGCGCCGGTTGCCGCTTCCGCCACCTCGCGCCAGACCACCCGGACGCGATCGCCGACCGCGTGCGCACGGGCCACATCTTCAAGATTGCAAACGTGCAGGACGAAAAGGTGCAGGCGCAGCTGCAGGAGCTCACCGCCGCCACGTCGCCCTCAGCCCAGGCGCTCGCGCCGCCGACGGCGGCGTCGCACGACGCCCGCATCTGCTTCCCCTTTCTGAACCACGGCCGGTGCGACCGGGAGGCGACCTGCCGGTTTCGGCACCTGGCGCCCGACCATCCCGACGCGGTGGCCGACCGGATGCGCACCGGCGCGTACGACAAGATCCCGCCGCACGCCAACCCGCTCATTGAGCAGAACCCGCACGTGACGCCGGGAGAGGTCCGGCCACACCTCTCCCGACACACGGCCACCCCACCCCACCGCCTCTGGGCGCGAGCTCGCTGCCTGCGCAGCCCGCCTCCCGGGTCGCGGCGTGCGTGACACCCGACGAGCCCCCACGACCGCGCTCCGCACCACTTCACTGCTCGGGGTCCGGCAAAGGAAACGATAGATAAGACAACGAGCAGAGACAGGCACACAGCTCACACCACTTCCCAACGGCGAAGCCGCCGTCTCTGCGCACCGCGCCTACCTCCGCACGTGCCCACTGCGCCGCCCTCCCTGCCGCAGGCGCGCATCTGCTACTCTTTTCTCAACCGCGGCACCTGCGACCGGCCAGACTGCTCGTACCGGCACCTGCTCCCCGGTGCGCGAGATACGCCGAGATACGCCGAGATACGCCGAGATACGCCGAGATACGCCGAGATACGCCGAGAATTGCCTATATTCGCCGCGATACGCCGAGAATTGCCGAGGTACGCCGAGGGTGACGACATCCCTCTCCCCTGCCGCCGCCCGCCAGGCCACCCCGACGCGATTGCCGACCGCGTTCGCAACGGGCAGCTCGACAAGATCCCGCTCTACGCACGCGCGGCGCTCGCGCGGGGCGGGCTGCCCGGGATGCCGCTGCCCCACATGCCGCCGTACGGGACGCCGATGGGCGGCGGTATGGGCGGAGGCATCGGCGGCGGCTTGGGCGGCGGGCTGGCGGGGCTGGCGGGGCTGGGCGGCGGGCTCGGCGGCGCGATGGGAGGCCTCGGCGGGGGGCACATGGGAGGCATGGGCGGCGGCATGGGCGGCGAGGGGCCGCTCACGCACGGCGGCTTGGGTCACGCCAACATGGCGGTGCAGATGGCCCAGCAGCTCGCTCAGGCGCGGGGAGGGGGGGAGGCGCGCCAAGCCGCCCGGCCGCTGCCGCGGCGCGTCACCGCCGCGCCGTTGCGAGTAGGTCCAGGGGATGGGGGCGCCCCACTACGCTGCGGGCGCCTGGGGAGGCGCCCTCCACCTGCAGATGGCGCCGCACTCGCCGCCAGGCGGGATGGGGCAGGGGCAGCCAGGGCAGCCGCCGCAGCCGCAGCCGCCGATGGCGCCTCTGCTCGGACAGGGGCTGCCGCCGCAGTTTCAGGTGCCCTACGGGCAGCACCAGGGCCTCGGCCCGCTCAACTTCGTGCCTCCGCCCTACTACGGCGCCAGCCTCTCCTCGCCCGTCCCGCACGCGCCGGCGCCGGGCGAGACGCGCATCTGCTTCCCGTTCATGAACAAGGGCCGGTGCGAGCGAGGCAACATGTGCCGCTTCCGCCACTTGACGCCCGACCACCCCGACGCGATCGCCGACCGGCAGCGCACCGGCCGCGGCGTGGGCGGCGGCGTCGCGTCCGCCTCCGTCGACGCGGCCGTCGCCGCCATGGGAAATATGCACTTATCCGGTGGCGCAGACGCGCACCCTGGCCCGCTCGGCGACCCGTTCGGCATGCAGCCGCAATGATGGCCGGCCGACGCGCCCAGTTTGGCGCGGCGAGGTTGAGAGCCCGCCGCTTGGCCGCCGCGGGCCCGCCGCGGCCCGCCGCAGCCGCTTCGGGCGCTGGCTGCACCTGCAGCCCGGACGCGATCGCATGGGGTCCGCACCCGTACATTTGTGCACAGTCTCTTTGGTGCTTAGTCAGGACGCGATCGCCTGGCGTGTGAGTCTGATCTGTCGTTTGTGCTTTGTCGGGCAGGGACGGGGGGTGAGTGTCGAGTTGCCCTGTGACCTTGTGACTTGCTTGTGCCTGAGAGTTGTCTAGGGAGCGAGAGGGGAGGGGAAAGGGGGGGGGTTAGGGGGGGAGAGCGGAGAGAGAGCAGAGATAGAGCAGGGCGAGAGAGAGGGGGAGAGCGGGGAGAGAAGAGATGGCGAGCGAGTGCGACTCATTGTGTGTGTCTCAACCCTTTTTTCTTTCCTGCTGTACTGCGGACGCAAAACTCACTCCTCGATCGACAGCGACCTGAGCGGAAGCACAACGTCGCCTTGCTTGGCCTGACGGCGAGTGATGGGCCGGTGGTGCGGGTCACCATCATCCGAATCGCTGAGAGCATCGTCCGAATCGGGATCTGTTGAATCTCCGCCCTCGTCCTCGTCTTCGCTCTCCTCTTCGCTCTCCTTCTCCTCCTCGCCGCTCTCGGCAAGCCGATCAAGGACGGAGGACGCGTCCCACTCATCGCCGTCGAGGGCGTCTGTCGGGAAGCTGGCCTGGCAGTTGGGGCACGCAAACTCGCCATCTCCGCGCCGCGCAATGCGGTCTAAGCAGGCGGAGTGCAGAGCGTTATGACAGCGGGGGCACCGAACCCAGAGGGGCACGGACTCTGTCGCGATCATGACGCTGCAGCAAATAACGCAAGTGTGAGGGTCGTCGGTGCCGCCGTCGCGCAGATGCCGGCCGAGAAGCACCTTTCGCCGCGCAGTTGGCGGCGGCTTAGCGCGGCGGCGAGAGCTCGCCGCCTGCGCTAGCGCAGCGGGAGGGTTGGCCATCGAGCGGGTTCGCGGCATACCGGCCCGGCACTCGTACGTCCCTCCTCCCACCAAGCCAGTCTGCTCTCGTCAACGCTGACCTGCGCAGCCCCATCGCGCACCCACCGGCGCACGGATCGCAGGCCTGGGACTAGGGCAGGGGACTAGGGCAGCGACTAGGGCATTGGGACTAGGGCAGCACATCGCTCGCTATCGCGTGCGCAGCCTCCGCGTGTGATGCTCGCCTTTGTCGAGGTGTGCAAGGTGGTCGGCGCGTCCTTCCTCGTGGTGCTGGCCGCAGACACCGTGTTGCGCTATGCCCCCGGCTTCAACGCCGCATCGACGCGGTACAATTTGCTCCACGCGCTTCTAAACACCTATGTTGTCGTGAGCGTGGTACCAGACTGTTACTTTGTGCTCGCGAACCCCCTCGAGGCTATGTCCGCTCCATATTCCGACGTGCCACTCGCCACGACAATCGGCCTCCACCTCTTTCACTGCGTCTCTCAGTACAAGTCGCTAACTACCGTCGACTGGGCCCACCACCTGGTGTCGAACATGCTCGTCAGCTTTCTGTGCTTTCCCTACGACTATGGGCCGCTAATGCAGTGGGGCCTCCTCTTCATCTGTGGCCTCCCGGGCGGAATAGACTACTACTTACTCACGCTGGTCAAACTTGGCACGATTGCGCCATCCACCGAGAAGCGGATCAACAGGCTGCTCAACACGTGGATTCGCGCGCCTGGGATTGTCAGCTGTGAGCCTCGCCCGGCCGTATTGAGTCCTGCGCGTGCACTATCCGCTCCCCGACGCTCCCCTCTCTCCGACTCGACTCGCCTTGTCCTGCAGGGGCGCCTTTGATGCTGTGCTGCCGCGCCGCCGGGAAGAGCAGAGTTCCGGACTCGATCCTCGCGATGCAAGTCGCGCTCAACATGTTCAACGCCATGTACTTCCAGGACCGCGTCGTACCGCATGGGCGTGGTGCTTGCTCCTTTTTGCCCATCGCCAGTAGAGGTGTCCGTTTTTATTTATTTAGGACCGCGTCGTCGCCAACTCCGCGGTCGTGGCCTGGTGCGCCGAACATCAAATTGACAAGCGAGAGGTCGAGAAGGCGACACGCGCCGCCCGGGCCAAAGGAAAGGAGGATCAAAAGAAAAGTTGATTGAGAGGGTGTGTGTGATTCTTTTCTTTTGATCCTCCTTTCCTTTGAGCACCTGGCTGCGGCACAAACGCACAGCCGCCCCTTACACACAGTCACGAGGACAGTCATAGAGGACAGACACGAGAACTGAGCGGGGAGACCGCTCACGGAGACGGCTCTTTATATATAATAACTCCTTAAAAATAAAATTCGACACACTCTTCTTGAGAGAGCAGAGAGATACAAAACCATTACGAATTTAGAGAGGTGGTAAGTATACCCGATTTTTGAAACTCTCTAGTAGACGCGGAGTCGGCCGCTCTCCCGACCACACGGCGAATCCCTCGCGCCCTACCCTAGGGGCCCTAGTGTACCTCAGTCTTATATGATGAATCGGCCGCTCTCGGTCACACGGCGCCAGCCTCGCCCCCACACCCGCATGAGCGGGGTCGACCAGGGAAGCAAGTTCACCTGCATCACCACCATCGCATGCCCTGGCTGTGGCCCGTGCTTCGCCTCGAGCGCCTCTAGCAGTGCAGCCTGGCCCGCGAGGCCAATCCTGTTGAACGGGGCGATCACGCGACATCCCTGACCCGTGGCCGGGAGGGCAGCCGCGAGTGCCATCGCACCCTCGTCGCCCACGTCGCAGTGAGCCAAGACCAGCGCATGGTACGGCTTGCCCATCGCCAGCGCAGCAGCTAGCGCCACTGCTCCCTCGTCGCCGATGGGCGTCAACACGACGTCGAGCATCTGCAGCGTCGGCGCCACGCCGCGATGGAACACGTCACAGAGCGAGCCGACGCCGCGCGCGCCGAAGCGGTTGTGCGCCACGGAGAGGGTCACGAGTGCCGGGAGCGAGCTGTCCTCAAGCCCCGCCGCAAGCTCCGCCACGCCCTCGTCGTCAAGGCGAGTCCCAAGTATGACGAGGTGCCGGAGGCTCTCGCAATAGTTTAGCGCCTCCGCCAGCAGCGCCGGGCTAGTCCACGCGTCGCCACGCACGAGCGGCAAACCCATGTAGTTGAGCTTCTCGACCGTGCCCAGCACGGCGTTCGCCGTCATTTCGTAGAGCGCCAGCACGGCCGCCGAGTCGGCGCCGTTGGTGAAGCGGCAAGCGGCGAGCAGCGTCGCCATGCGCTCCGGAGTCGCGGGGAGCCGCCGCTGAGCGCCGCCGTCGTCGTTGGCGACGTCGATGACGAGCTTCCACTTGGCAAAGCCCAGCGAGGCGGGCTTTGCACCCAGCTCTGCCGAGCACCGCTCGAATGTCGTCCAGCCGCGAGTGTCGTAGGTCCGGCTCCGGTCAAAGCCGGCGGGCAGCTCGTCCGGCAGCTGCGTGAGCAGCACGACGGTGACCGAGCGGTGCGCGTACCAGAGGTCCTATGCGGAATGTAAAGCCTCTTGCCGTGAGAGCGTTGCATTTTGTGCCGCTATCAGGGGGAGGGGCTGGCATGCGCTCACCATCGTGTTTTCCAGCATGCGGCCGAAGGCGGCCTTCTCCTCGCCCGACCGGCTCGCCTCATACTCACGCGGCCTCTCGGCAAACAGCAACGGGTCCTTCTGGTAGCCCGAGCACCAGTCCAGAAACACGCCCTGCGCGAGCCAGGAAGGGAGTGGCGCGGTGAGGATGGGAGTGGCGGTGGGGCAAGGCGCGGGAGGCAGCTCACCATGTCGGCGAAGCCGTACTCGCGGCACGCGCCGAGCAGGCCGCGCCCGCCGTAGAGGCCCCGCAGCTTGCGGGAGAGCAGCTGGAGCTGGCGGCCCTCACGATCGGGATGTGCCGCCTCGAGCCAGCAGTAGGAGACGGATATGATCGGGAGCAGCCCGTCGGGGTTGCGCTTGCGGCCGCAATAGCTCGCAACAAAGGCGAACAAGGACGAGATGGAGGGCTCCTCGCCCAAGCGCTCGTTGGCCTCCTCAACGCCGGAGAGGTTGAAGCCGCGCCTGGCGCCTTGCTCGATCCGCCTCAGCTGAGCAGAGCTTAAGAAGGCCTCCTCTGGTAGCTCCTGCCGCCGCGGGAGCACGCCACCCCTCTCTGCCAGCGCCATGAGCCAGTTCAGACTGATCAGCCGCACATCTCCCGGCCGGACCTTGTCGCCGTCGCCCTCGAGGGCTGCCCAGATGGAGGTGTGCCGTCGGTAGCGGGCGCCGTCGTTGGTGTTTGAGCGCGACCGTTCGCGGACGTCAAGACCGGCTTCGGAATCGGGAGGCGCTGGCTCGCGATTGGGGAGTGAGGCGCGCCGGCAGAGGCTGCAGATGGCGAGGATGAACGGATTCCGGAAGAGCAGTAACTCGATCAGAAATGTCGCTATGCAGAAGACGGCAATCGGCAGGTCGACGAGCACCATCGGAAGGATCAGGTATGGTAGGCGACGCCAGGCGAGGAGGCTGGGAGGCACGCCGACAGCGGTGTCTGAGCTGCAGAGGCCGAGCGCGATCCATGGCGAGAGAACGGCAACGAGGAACGGAGAGATAATCGAGAAGAACGCTGGCCAGAGCAGGAAGCCTACGAGGGTCTCAACGCACGAGCGCAGCAGGCGGACGGGAGTCATGGATGGCAAACTGGAGCAATGGCGACGCCCCCACACAGGGTACCCCTCCGAGGGACCGGCCGCCAGAAAACACGCCTGCGTGGATCGCGTCACACCAATCCTCGCTACCCAACGCGGCCAAAGGATATCCACCTGACCACCTCGAGGACCTCGAGAACCGCCGAACAGCTCAGCCTTGAGGCATGGGCGCCCGCGCCGGGGCAGTGAGGTATCGCGGGCTCTGTACGGCTGGCAGCATTTGGCGGCACTCAGACTGTACACCCATTTTTAAAGAAGCCTGGGATAAATTCTTCTCTCTTAGACGTTCGCCCGCCGGGCGAGCTGTACCCCCCGATGTGGCACAACCCATATCGATCGAGGCCGGCGCTGGCTGGCCCGCGGCTGGGAGCATTGGCGGTTCCGACACGTGCGTTGGCTGCTCAGGAGGTAGAAATAGCCGTGCAAAGGCCGGATCGAGACGCTGGATTGCGATCGCAACCAGAGAGGGGGCGCAGTCCATCGAGTGACCGACGCTCACGGCGGCGGCGGTGGACGGCGTCAAGGCGATCGAGATCGAGTGAGTCAAGCTCGACCGAGTCGAGCGCCGAGCGGCGGCGACCAAGGCGATCGAGATCGAGTGAGTCAAGCTCGACCGACTCGAGCGCCGAGCGGCGGCGTCGCCGCCGCCGCCGCCGCCACCGCTCGTCAACCTCCCCCTCATCCTCCTCGCCACACGCCAAGCGCGCCAAGCGCGCTGCCGCTGCCGATCGGCCGCCACCACTAGAGCTTTCTGCGCCGCCACCGCCACCACCGCCGCCACCGCTGCCGCCATTGCCGCCGCCGCCGCTGCCGCCGCCGCTGCCGTCGACAGCCTCAATGAGCCTGGCGGAAAGCAAACATGCGCCCTCCAGAAAGAGGGGCAGTCGCCAGCGAAAGCTGGCTCCCAGCAGTGCATGTCGCCCGCGGCAGTCGAAAGAAATCTGCGCCGCGTATGGGAAGAGCGTTGGCAGTAAATTTGCTTGCCCTATCTGCCGCATGCCCTTCGGCCAGTGGTGCTACTATATGCAGCACACCGCGCCAGACATCCCAGGGGTGGCGACAGAGGCGGAGGGCATGCAGCTGCACCTCTCCATCAGCAGCAGCACCGGCTACAAAGGAGTGGGGCCGCGCGCCTCTGGCCACTTCGGGGCGCAGTGCTATGTGGACGGAAGGAATGTCGACCTCGGCTGCTTCGACACGGCGGTGGAGGCGGCGGTGGCGTACGCGGCGGTGGAGGCGGCGGTGGGGAGACGGCGGCAGCAGGAGAAGAGTCTTCAGACTGTGCCGCTACGACCTGCAGTTGCCTTCGGCCATTCCGACTGGATAGCCCTTCACTACAGGGCGGAGGCGGAGGCAGAGGCAGGAGCGCGTGAGGTGGAAAGAAGGGAGGCCGCGGCGACGGCGCGGGCAGTGGCCACTGAAGAAGCCGCGGTGAAGATGCACAACATAGAGGCGAGATTGGCTGCCGCGCAGCGCGCGGCAATAGAGGCAAGGGAGCAGCTCGACGATCAGCTGGCTTGTGTTGTCTGCATGGAGCAGCCTCGGTCTGTCGTTCTGCGCCCATGCAACCACTTTGTTTGTTGCTCTGAGTGTTCAGGGCGGCTAGCTTGCTGCCCATCTGTGGGATGCAGCACGCCGATCACGAGCAGACTACGTGGCATTTCCATGGCTCCCGTGCAGCAGTCATTCCAGTACTGAGTGTGTGTTTAGGGGTTGCACTCTGGTCTCTGGCACTCTGCCCAAGCGACATCGCCGACAACCATTCGTGTGGCTATTTTTGGTGCGCACTCTTTGGACATCGCGGTATGTACCTTAAAACTCAAGCCTGAGCCAAAAACACACAAAGGCTAGCCAAACTCTCTCTGTACAAAACCCGGCCGTACACACAGACAGTGTCCCGCGACGTTGGGCCGACGTACTTAGCTTCACGCTCTGCAGCGCGCGTCTTCTACACGGCTTTACGTCCGCCTCTCCCCCACAGCCCGCGCAGAAGGAGGTCTCTCTCTCTGCTCACTGGGCACGGGGCAGGAAAAGAATTTTACAACCCAACTCCTCGCACGGTCGCACGACACTGGGCACGGGACTGGCGCGCACTGGCACTAACAGGAAAAAGAACTCGCAATGGCGGCGGAAAAGAATTTTACAACAAAACCTCGCACAACACAGAGAGAGAGATGAGAGAGAGATTGTTTTGTTGTTGCACAACACTGGGCACGGGACTGGCGCGCACTGGCACTAACACGGAAAAGAACTCCCAGAAGGAAATCTGAGATCCGGCGCCCTCGCAGCCACTGCAGATCCTCTGCCTTCCGCCGTTCGCCACTGCCGTCGCTGATCTGCTGCTCCCAACGACGCTGGAGCAGAGCGCGCCCGCACACCCGAGACAGCAGTGGTGGCGGTGGACAGGTGGAGACTGTGATGCTGGTCCCAACGGCAGAACTCCCCATTCTCCCCAATAACAGTGACGTAGACCGAGCCGCAGCCCTCTCTATTCCGAAACGACGGCCTCGCGCTCGGTGGACGACGCATCGAGTAAATCCACCTTCTCGCCCACCGCGGGGGGCGTCGCAACGCCGTTGAAACGTGAGAAGGCGAATCCGGTCGCGTGAGGGCTCACCACCTCGTAGTCGGACGCCGTACCAGAGATGGCTCCCTCTGCCTGGGCGCTAGTGGTGAAGGAGCCCTCCCGAGGGTACCTGTCGACCTACGGGTGGAGTTTCTATTTTATCACGCTGTGTCGCTGTCAGCAGGCAAGGTGAGGGCTATCCCTACGCATATCCGGGTCACCTGGCCGTAGCGCACGAGCCCTGGCGTGGCAAACGACTGGCCTACTCGCAACACGTGCTTTGTGTTGCGAGGGTTACCTAGGGCCTGCGGTGGGTGGCGCAGAGCCGCTGCCGATGATGCCATGCGGCTTGTCCCGAGACGGAGCGTTGCCACGAGCAGCGAAGCCAATGTCGAGCCGGTGCGCGGGGCCAGCGAGCAGGCAGCCCTTGCACGAGAGCGTGCCCCGGACCGTCACGGTCCAGTTGCGGAATGCAAAGGTGGCGCTCGAGTAGTCCATCGCCATCTTGAGATCGAAGCAGTCCTTCTTGCCGCGGTTGCCGAAGCGGAATGCGCGGCCCACGCAGCTCCCATTGATCACGCGCCAGCCAAAGTTGTTGGGGTCGAGCTCGGACGCCCAGAACGAGGCGGTGGCGAGCTTTTGTGGGGACAGCTGCGCCGTGATATGCGCCTCGGTGAGGAAGGAGCCGTTGACCCTGAGAGCGCCGCCGTGCAGCGTGAAAATCGCCTCCTCCGTCTTGACGTTGACTGATAGGTCCGGCACGGACAGAAAGTTATACAGCGCGTTGTGGCGGCCGCGGAGGTCGGCGGAGCCTCCATACGCAAAGTTTATGTGCGGATCTTGAACGGCCCGGCCCGTCGGAACTGATACCGCGCCGGGGGGCGGCAAGGGGGCGCCGGGGGGCGACAAGGGGGCAGGGGGTGCCGAGGGAAAGGGCGGCATGGGTGCATAGATGAGCGGGTTTGGATCGGAAGCGCCGACGTACTCAATCTGGGGGCAAGGCGCCACACCCCAATTGGTATCCGGTGAATCCGCCGTCGGTTTCTGAAGACCCCCAATGTCGGTGTTTACCGTTCTCGGCTTTTCTATGAATTGGACGCCAAACTGTGCGTCTCCGAGATCAATCTCCTGGCACTCGGGATATTTCGTGCACCAAAGGTGATCCTTGTCTGCGCCCTTAGCGCAGCCTGGCGTCGGCTTGGAGTCTGATCCCAGGTTGCAGTTTTGGATCGGCTGCTGCTCGTCGGTCAGCGAGGCGAGTAGGCGGGCAAAGGGTCCCTCCGGGTTGTGCTGAAATAGCGGGCAGTCTGTCAAACCTTCATTCGCAGGTGTGATGGCCGAAGGGGCCATCGGGCCGGCGACGAACAGTTTGCAGGGAAATCCCATCTCTCGGATTCCGCTAGGATTCTCGTCATAGGCCTTGGTATCGGACGAGGTCCGCCGCACGATCTTGTCGCTTTGGCGTAGGTACTGCGCGTCGTCCTTGATGGGCGGGTTCATCGTGGCGAGATCTCGCCCATTTTGAACGCCGGTCTTGTAATACGTCTTGAACGCATTGAAAACGGTGCCACAGTGTGCCCTGTAATTGTCCCACCACGGATAGTAAAGAACGCAAAAGTGAATCCTTGCGCCTGTGTTGACGGCGTACTTCCCGCATACATCCGCCTGCTCCTCCTCGGATTGATCGGAGTCGGGGCCGAGCCGGAGCTCCGTCTTTGGAATCAGAGCCTCGCAAACGCCCCGGGTCTCACCGGCACACATGTTGCCGATGTCTCGAACACGTGTGTTCGAACACATGCCTGCGCAGCTGCTGCTTTTGCTGTTTGTGCCACCGCAGGACTCCTGGGTCGAGAGCAAGGTGCGCCCTTGCAAGACGTGGCAGAGGCCCTGCGGGTTCCAGCCGAAAGGGTGGTCAGTAACTTCGCCGTAGCACGATGTTGGGGTGTTCCGCTGCAGGTGCATGGCGCCAGTCCGTGTTCCGCCAGTGCCTTGCGCCATATGGTCACACTCGTACGAATAGTCTCGATTCGGGCCATGGTTGTATGACGTGTCAACAAGGCCTCTGCAGTCGTGGGTGTTCCGCCAGTCCGCAAACGTCCTCGTATTGGCATCACAGGCGAGGCCGTAGCGGTACGACGAGTCGGTGGGGATGCCGCACCCCGTTTGACCACCCTGAAATGTCCCTGTGTACGTCTCCCAGGTCGTGCCAACGCCGTTCAACACCATGAAACTCGAGCCACTACCGCCAATGGGTTGGAGTCCGACAAGAGACTGCCTGCAGGAGCGGCAGGCGAAGCACGCGTAGCTGCCCTCCGGGTGCACGAGTCTTTCGGGATATTTGTCCGGGTCATCCACCCAGGAGTATCTCGACATACCCGCGGAGGTCGCGTATTTGCCGTTGCAGCCCGGCTGATGGTCGCTCCACGCGCACAGCTCGGTGCAGTTTACGCAACGCATGTCGTACCGCGGAGATGTGGCCGACTTGGCCATGCCTGTGTCTACGAGATAGTTGCCCGTTGCTGCGGTATAGGTGAGCTGAACGAGGGCAATGCGGAGGGCGAGAGACAGCGCCGACATGGGACTGGCCTTGGGTTTGCCTCGCTGACAGGGGACAATGTTCGCCGACAGGGGACAGTGTTTTGGGATCTGTTTTGCCGCGATTTTTCGCGTAAACACTAACCTCCGAGAAACCCTTCGGCTCGCTCCTCATCGAAAACCCTGTCAGCAGGTCCTCCTACTACCCTCTCCCTTTTCATATAAAATGAACTCGGGGGCACGGGACGCGGCACAAACGGGGCACAAACGCCAGGCTACAAAGACGGGGAGGCACGTAGTGAGTGACGCAGGGGAGCTCCCAGTAAGCTAAAAGTACGTACACTGGAAAACGATTGAAAATATTTGTTGTTTGGTATTGCTAAAAATCTCTCTCTTTGTTTTGATAGGAAGCACTCCCCCGGGAATTAAACGAAGAGTCGAAAGACGAAAGAAAACGCTTGCGCCCACTCCAAGTGCCACTGTGTTTGTATTGTTTGTATTATTAACAACGAAGGCGTGAGTGAGTGAGTATTCTTGATACGAAACCACGACGACACACACCAGTCGACTCGCATCGGTTGCCTCCATGAACGGCGGAGCTACACACACACACACGAAGGCGCTCTCAAAAAAAGAAAACTGAAATTCGGCGGCCTGCCAACCTCGCCACCCCCCGTTTGTTGGCGTCGCCTCGCCTGTCCATCCGCCACCCAGGCCACCGCCTCGCCGCATTCGAACCGCTCCATGCGCCCGCTGCTAAACTTGCTACTCGCAAGTCTCCTTGCCTCTGCCTCCGCGACCACATCCTCGATCGCTCTGCGGACAACAGACACGAGACCACCCGACGGCTGCACCGGCCCGCGGCCGAGATGGGGCACCTCGCTCTGCTGGTACAACGTCGAGCGTAGCCCGCTGCTGACCAACGTCACCTGGCTGCACGTTCCAAAGTGCGGCTCCAGCTTCGCCCGGCTGGTATTCCGTGGCGCCTGCGGCGCAGTGCCCGCAAACAAGACGCACGTGGATTTCGTCGAGGCCTCTGCGATGCATCCAATCATACAGCTCCACTGCAAGTCGGCCTTCCACCGCTTTCAGAGCTGGCACGCTGCCCTGAGTCCGTCAGAGGCCTCGCGGTGCGGCCGCGGACTTGTCTGCGTCACGACGCTGCGGACCACCTGGAAGCGAGTCGAGTCCGGCTTCCACCACAACCTGCACGACTGCCAGTGGATGCAGGACGCGCACCGGCTCAACCAGGACTACGGTCCCAAATACGGCGGCCCCAGCTTTTACAAGACCTACACGGAGGATCACGTGCGGCTCTACGCCTCGTGCGTGAGCACGTGCATGACGCGCATGCTCACGGGCCTTCCCTGCGGCCGGTGCAGCGGGACGCTCTCGCGCGCCCAGGCAGCGCGCTGCGTTGAGCGCGTCTGGTCGGACGCATTCTCGGGGATAGAGGCCTCGGCAGGGGAGGGCGGCACCGCGGCGCTCAACATCAGCGACTACGTACGGTTTGCGAGCCGGACGCGCAGCAAGCGCGCCGATCCCCTCCACGATCCGGATCCGCCGCCAGACACACGAAGGGCGATGAGGACCCTTTCGCGCTTTGCCTTTGTCGGCCTGCTCGACAACTGGTCCTGGACAGTGCACCAGTTTGGCCGCCGCTTTGGCGTTCCGCTGCTGCCGAGCGACTACAAGGTGCTGCGTGCGGGCAGCAAGAGCAGGTCATCCTCGCCAAGACAAAAGATGGCCGAGCAGACGTTGAGGGCGTTCAGCTTTGCGGCAGACGACGCTCTGGTGAGCGCCACTAGCGACTCGCTCGGCGTCCGCCGTCTGCAGTCGCAGCAGGCTCAGATGCGGATCGCGTGGCTCGAGATTCCGCACTACTCGGAGGGCTACTACGACGCGCTGCAGCAGCCCCTGTCAAGGCTGGGGCACCGCGTGGACGAGTTGCGCGCCCCCACGCAGAGGGGCTTTGGGCCTGGCGTGCTGGCGACCAAGCTTCGAGGCATGGACCTCGCCGTCGTCGGCTTTGGCTGGTTTCCTCAGGAGCCTGGCTCAGGACCCTTCACGCGCTTGCACGAGTTCCAGCGCTCTTGTGCTGCGAGCCATCGCGTCCGCCTGGAAGCCGCCGGCGAGTTCGAGTCCACAACGCGTCGCGCGTGCCTCTGCGGGACTGTGCCCCTCGTGGTCATACTGAACAAGGAGTACGCGAGCCTTGCCGACAAGATGGCGTGGGTTCGCGAGCACTGCGTCGCGGCTGCCTTTTCCGTCCACCACGACGCGCCGACCTTTGCTCAAATGACTGGCGTCGACTTCCACCACATCCCGTTTGGTGTCGACTTCTCGCGCTTTGCGCGGGGGCAGCGGGCAGAGGCGGGACGGGCGGTGTCGGACGGATACGCGTATGACCTTGGCTTCACCGGCGTGATCCGGCCCGATCAGACGGCGAACTGGCGCTACCGCATATGGAGGAGCGCCTGGCCGATCCTGGCGGAGCGGGGGCTGCGCCTCTACTCGGGCGGCGAGGGAGGAGTTGGGCTCGGCCGCCGCCACAAGAGCGTCGGGCCCAAGGAGTACGTCGCGAAGATGCAAGCAAGCAAGGTGTGGCTCGCCACGACCGGGCCGGCCGACCTCGTCGGCACTCGCTATTCGGAAATAATGGCGACCGGAACGACTCTCTGCGTGTGCAACCGGCTGCATGGGAACGCGACCGCCGCATACGCCAGGCTCGGCCTCGTCGAGGGGCGGCACGTGGTCATGTTTGACTCGCTGGAGGAGTTTGTCGAGGTTGTGACCAACTACACGCGCCGGCCAGAGTACGAGCGCCGCCGCCTGGCGATCATCCGCCGCGCGCAGGCGCTCGCGCGCCGCCGACTCTCGTGGCGCCAAGTCGCGGCAGACGTGGACGCCGTGCTGCAAGGGGTGGCGCGCGGGGGACGGGGCGCGCTGCGCGAGCGCCGCACGACCGGGCGCCGCGGCGGAGGCGGAGGCAAGGCGAGCGGAGGCGGCGCTGGTGGAGGTGGCGTCGAGGGCGGTGGTGGCGGCGTGGGCCCCTTCGGCGGAAATGCCCTCGTGCTTAGATGCTGCATGCAGATCCGTGTATTCCGCTGCCTTTGCAGCCCTCGCACCCACGCGAGGCGCCGACTCCACCGCACGGCACCGCATACCGGTCCGACCTTGGTGTGTGTTGAGGACGCAGGCTCCCGCGCCGGCGGCGTGCGGCGTCTCGCTCGTTAGCCAGCACAGCTTCGCGCGTTGCGCGCTCGGCTCGAGCTTCGGCTGCGTCAACGCGACTCACGTGTTTGTGCGGGGCTGCCGCGGCCTGTTCCGCTGCGACGGCGGCGCCGACGGCTTCGCTTGCGGCTACCCGCCCGGCCGCAAGGAGTACGAGTGCGGCTGCGACGGCCGCGCAGACGACTTGCCCGAGGACGACACCTTGCCAGAGTGCACCGTCTACTCGTCTGCGTCGCAGGCGCCTTCACACAGACGCGCCGCCCCGGGGCCCCATCGCCACCACGGACCGCCGAGGGAAGACAGACAGAGAGAGAGAGCCGAGAGCGAGGGCGAGGCAGGCCGCGCCGTGTCCCAGGGAAGGCCGACGCGCGACACACCCCATGCACAGCACCACGCCGCCCGGCGGATTGGACGACCCGTGGAAGAAGCGGTACCTGCAGGCGTATCTCCCCATATCACCCCATATCTCCCCCATATCTCCCTCAAGCCGCTTTCGGTGGGCTCGCAGTCCTTTGAATCGGACGACGGGTTTGGGCTTTAGCGTCACTCTCTCAGCTTAGCACCTGGTGTGTGTGAGGGCTGGAAGAAGTAGCGGCTACGGGGCTCACGCGGCGAGTGTGCCACGGTGCGGAGCAGGCCTTCACCCCGGGGCTTGAGGTCCTTCTCGCGAGCATGCGGCGCCGCTCCGGGCTCGCGTGCTCGGCCGTGCTGTACTGGCGTCTCTCTCGTGGCGGAGAGTCATGCACGGCGGAGGAGGCTTCGCGATCGAGGGAGGTCGCTTGTTTGGAGGTAGGCACCCGCTTGTCCCCGACTCGATGATGACGGCGGCGCAGCTCGACCGTATCAAGCGCGCCACCGAGCCCGCCGCGCGTCTCGAGATCACCCAAGATTGCCCCGAGATGGCATTCGAGATCGCCCTCGAGATCGCCCTCGAGATTGCCCCGAGATCGCCCCGAGGTGATGACCAGCCCCGAGATCGCCCTCGAGATGCCCCGAGATCGCTGGACGCCGCGGCGGCCACAGAGTGGCGCAGGGTTCAGCCCGCCAGCCTTGAGCAGGCGCTCAAGCAGCTCCGGCGGCGGCGGGCGCCGCAGGGAGAGAGATCGCTCCGGGGCTGCCCCTCTGCAGGTGCGCTGCCGGCCAGCTGCACGTGTCGCTCGCCCGCGCCGACGATGGGCGGGTGAGGAGGTACGCTGCGGTGCGAGGGCCTTCGGCGACGGCACAGTCTCTGCTCCGCGTAGAGACGCTGCACGAGCAGCGCGGTGGGCTCGCGATCTGGCTCGGTGCGTGCCACTTCCTAGACACTTCCTAGACACTTCCTAATCCGCCGATCCTCCCTCTCGGCACGGCACGGTCCTAGACACTTCCGTGCCTAGACAGGTCCTAGACACTTCCTAGACACTCCCCTCTCGGCACAGCACGGTCGCCCTCGGCGCCTCCTCACGCGTCCCCCCAGCTGTGGACAGACGCTGACATGCTCGTTGTTGGCTCGCTGCGGCCGATCGCGCACGCCGTGCTCCGCGCGACAAGGCAGTGGCGCTGGCAGCTCCACGGCAGCCAACTGGCGGCGCCGGGCGCGTATAACTACCTGAATGCCGGCTTCATGGCCTTCCGCGCGCCGGCGCCGGCCGCCCTTCTGCGCGCCGTCGACGCACAGCTCGACAAGATGGTCGGCGAGGCGCGCTTCCACCCGACGCCGTCGCAGAACCTGCTCAACGACGTGCTGCCGCTCGGCGGGTGGCTCACTGTGCACTACCGCTGGAAGGCCAACTACCGGCCTCAGGCGACGAACGAGTCGCTGGCGCGCTGGCGCGTCGTCCACTGGCAGGGCTTGCCAAAGCCATGGGGCTCGCCGATCCAGTTTGACCAGGGCCGAAAGCAGCAGGGCATGGCGCCGCCATCGATGGGGGAGGCGTGGGCCGCGGAACACGCAGAGCTGCGCCGCCAATGTCCGGCCCAGTAGCCGGTGCTGGCGCCTGATGAAGCTAGAAGCCTTGAAGTGCATGGCCTGATCCGCTCCGAGCATCCGACAATCGTTTGACCACTGTGTCAGTTCTGTGGTGTACTTATGGGGAGTAGTACTTGAGTGTTGGTGCATATGTAACGCGGGTCTCGGCCCCAGCACACGCTTGTATTGTAGCGATATACGTAATCGTAATGGTCCATCTGTACCGCGGATCTCATGTTACCGCGCTGTGGTAGTCAGACAGGCCACCGACCTCTGTGGCTTGTCCGCCAGTGCCAGTCGAGTCGGGCACTGGCACCGCCACCGCAGGTATTGGAAGCGCAGCAAAAATGAGGATGGCGGCCATGGGACAGACGCTCCAGAATGCCATGGCCATGCCGTCTTCCGATGGATGGACGGCCGATGGACGGCCGAGGGCCGAAGAGGAGAGTTGACTAATGCACGTTCAACTGTGGGCGTTCCACTAATTTTCAGGGTACTTACCACTGGTGTCCGTTTTTATTTATTTATTTGCGTCCTTGGAACTTGTGACCGCCTCCTTCTCCTATGAGCTCGTATGCCACGTCGCCGCCTGTGTTTGGGTTTCTATGTTTGCGATTTGGAATTTGGTATTTGTCCAACTCTTTGTTTATTTATTTACCCGAGGGTGAACTGCTGACAGGGTTTGCGATGAGGGGCGATCCGAACGTGGCATTCGGGTGATCAGATCACCAACAACAAACCTGAATAAAACTAAAGCGACAAACAACCACCTCTCTCTCCGAACGCGCAAGCGCTTAGGTAGGTAGGTAGGAAGGTGAAGAACAGCCAGGCTCGGACTGGACACCAACGCGGTAAGCGCTTGGAGCAAGGGAACCAACTGCGACGTATCGATCGAGCTCGAGGCCTCGAGCAGAAAGTAACGGAAAAGGCGGCGCGGCACGGTAAGGGTCGGTGGTAAGGTGGCGCGGCGGCAATAGACGGCAGGCAAAACATCGAAACGGCTGAGCGTGGGCCGGAACCGGAGGACTCGGCCGCAGCGCAGTGTCGTTTTTGTTGTCGTGCCCGGCGCGCTCGGCGGCCGGCGCGTGGCGGGGTGTAGCACTGAAAGTGCAGCCTTCTGCAATGTGGCCCCGCAGGGTGAAATACACACGGGAGGCGGCGCCCTTGCTTCCCGCTGCCGCTGCATCGGGTGCAGGGCCTGCCGCTGCAGCGCCTCCAGGGCCTGCCTCTGCAGCGCCTCCAGCGCGTACAGGTTATCTCCCGAACCGAGCAGCAACCCCAGCTTTAGAGGCAGCTTCGAGCTCAGACTCCCCGCTAGCGCTGCACGGCGATGGGGAGGTGCCTTGCTGGGACAATGCGGCGCCGGAACCGGCTTGGCCCTTGGACGTTGTTGTCCATGAGATGCGTTCCAATGTGCGCCCTCACACAAAGGCACAACCCCAGACCCAAGATCACGCAAACAGACAGACACGACAGTCCAACCTCACACTCTCTCTTTGCCATGAGCGATCCCGAACCGCGGTGCAGGTTGTGCTGGCTCACATCGACCGCCTGATCTGGCGGATGCGACACAGCCTCGAAATGCTTGTGGTGATCCTCGGGTGCGAGTGGCGAGACGGAAGCCCGGTGGGGGTCGTGGCCGACAGGACCAGGATCGAACGGCAGTCTGTTGACCCTTCGGTCTTGACCCTCGCCGCTTCCGAGTACAGATCAAAAATGGGCTTGGCAAGTGCTCTTCATGACGTGAAGAGAGAAATTGTTCTCGGCTCGCCCTCGCGAATGTCGCTTGCCGCAGCGGAGAAGTTGATCAGCCTCTCCGAGCAGGCGTTGGTGAGCGAACGTGACCTCCTCCCGTCGCCGGCTCCCTCCCCGCCCGAGCAGCAGTACGAGCGTGCCGCCGCGGTCTCCGCCATCGGTGTTGCGTCCGCACTGCTCCTGGTCGTCGGGGGCGGGGCGTTCAAGTACGCGCAGGTACTCAACTACGTCGCCCCGCTCGTTTGCTCATTCGTCTGCCTCCTCTTCTTCCTGCTCTTCTGTGGTGTCGTGTTGAGCCCTGCGCTCGTCGGAAGAGCAACACCGGCCCCGGCGGCCACGCAGGTTGACCGGTTTGAGGTGGCTCTGCGTTCAGGTACGAGGGCCAGACCTATGCCTACCCGCCGATGATCTGCTACTGGGCGGTCTTTACAGAGATCACGACTGTGGTCTTCATCTCGTACTTTTCGCTTTTCCAGCCCACATGCATGATGGAGCTTAACACGGGCAATCCAGCGGGTGACCTTGGAGCCCTGATGATTACCGCAGTGGTCGTTTCGGGCATCCCCGGCGGTATGCTCGCCGCGGTCTGGTGGGCGGGCTGCCTATCCAGCGGAACCAAGGACAAAACGGTCGCCTACTTCATGGCCCCGCGCGTCGGGCGCACTACCACGATCCTGGCGATGGCCACGCACACATACCTGATGTTCTGGACGTACGGCCAGTTCTTCCTGTGGCATACATTCCCCATTTCGTCCCTCTGGCTGTGGTCCGTGCCCATCTCGATGGTCTACTTTGGCATCCTGTGGAACTCCATCCCGTACCTCTCTGACGGGCCGGCTACGTGCTTTGCCCACGGTTCGGGTGCGCTCATCGCGCTCGGCATTTGCACGACGCTCGCTGCGATGGTGATTTATATTGCCCGCTACGGCTGCTTCATGTTCCCGTGCCTCTGTGCGCCGGACGTGCCGGGATGGGTCTTCTTCCCTCCCTCTCCGGACCTCTCCAACCCAGCTGTGGCGGGCGTGTGGGATCACAAGCTCCTGTGCCTCTTCTTGGAGCGCGCCGCCGAGCTGCTCTGGGACCCGGCGGCCGCGCTGAGCCGCGAGTGCTTGTGGGAGCCCGAGGAGGCCGAGTACCGGGGCTTCACGTGCCCTCCACAGCCTGAGGCACGGCCGACGGCCGTCACCCGTGTCACTCTGCTCCTTTTTGCCTCTGTAGGATGGACGGGAGGACGTACGTCACATCCTTCCCGCTGGACACGTCGGCTTATCCGCGAGGAATGCACACGGGCGTCGGCATGGCCAACGATATAGGCCAGAAGTTGGCCGAGCTGGAGGCCGTCGTCCTCTAGAGCCTGGGGTGTCGACGGGCCCCCGGGGGCGACGGGGGTGCTCTCGCGGGGGGTCCCCCCAGTCGAGGGGGTCTGGGGCGCAGCCCCAGGTACCCGCCGCAGGCGCCGAGGGGGGGGGGGCGAGATGATGAGGGGAGTGAGGCGTCGGCAGGGGCTACCATATCACCCACGGGACCGAACCCACACTGGGTTCGATCCTCTGGAGGTATGGTAGGCCTGAGCGCGTCCTCTCCACCGCGGGGGGAGGGGGCATATGTGCAGGCCCCCCAGTACGGATGTCGGGACTCCTCGCCACCCCCGGAGGTCCACCGGTGTGAAGGGGTACCCGCTGGGGGGTACCCGCAGTGTCAATCCGCCGAGTGTGGGTGGGTGGACTGGGTGGGGCACGCGACGGGCACGGCGCTACGCGTCGCCTCCTCGGGCGGCACGCCGTAGCCGTCGCACACGCCGCAGGTCGCGCGGCAGACGCGGGAGGCCAGAGAGGGCGCGGCGGCACACACGCCGCGGCTGTCGTCGGAGCAGCCTGAGGAGCCATTACTGAGAGCGCTCATGGGGGGGGAAGAACGGAAGGGTCAGAAGGCGTGGCTGTCGGCGGAGAGCAGCCTGCGACATCACTAGGAAGTGTCTAGGAAGTGTCTAGGAAGTGTCTAGGCGGAGAGCAGCCTGAGACGGTGTCGACACACGGCGGCAGAGCGGGCGGCAGCGGCGGACGCGCTGGCGGCGACGTGGCGGTGCAGCATCCTGCGCACGCGTCTCCGCAGAGCAAGGCAACCTCCTCACAGTGCTGTCCGATGCGCTGCATCTCCAAGCAAGTCGCGCGGCCGCACATCGCGCGACACGCCGGCGGGGCTGCCTGGGGCGGCGGGTGAGGGGCTGGCGGAGGAGGCCGCGTCGCCGCCGCCGCTGCTTTGTCCGTCAGCCTGCCAGGCTGTTGCTGCTGCTGCGCGCTGACACGCGCTGGGCCGTTGCTGCCCAGGCGCTGGTACTCGTCCTCCGCGCCGGGCATGGACAGCCCGGAGCCGGCGAAGCGGGCCTTGTGCAGCGCCGCACGGCCAGCGTCGGTCAGCTCGTTGCCGAGTAAGCCCAGCGTCTCGAGGGCGGTGTTTCGCTCGAGCGCAGCGCCGAGGGCAATGGCGCCGCGGTCTCCGATCGCGTTGCGCTCGAGGTAGAGCGTCGCCAGCCCCGAGCCGGGCGAAGATAGCGCGTCGGCGAGGGCGACGCAGCCCTGTCCGGCGGAGGCACGGTGTCGGAGATTGGTGAGGCGTCTAGTGGCCGTGAGTGGCCGTGACCATTGGCACACACCTCGTCGCCAATTCCGTTGTTGGAGAGGTTCACCTCTACGACGTTCGGGGCGCCACCGCCAGCTGCCAGTGATGCAGCAAGCACCTTGACTCCGGAGTCACCAAGGCCAGCGTCGCTCAGGGAGAGCACGGTGCAATCCTTGAGCTTGAACGACCAGCCGGGTGCCCATGGCAGCCTCCTCCCGACGTCTTTGATTACGCACTCCTTGGAGAAAGCGCCACCGAGCAGCAGCGTCGTGAGGCCAAACGTGGAGAGAAGGCGGCATAAGCTGTGTCCTTCTGTTTTCACGCTGCTCAGCACGCCCGCCGGTTAAGCTGCGGTGCAAAACTCTTTTTACCACCTTCAAGTACACCCCCAAGACTCCCCAAAACCGCCCAGGATGAGCTCCTGAGGTGCCAGTCCGCCCGAGATATGACCGGTTGAAGTTGGGGTTCCACGGTCAGGATGGAGGTGCTGAACTGGATGGGGGTCAGCCAGGGAGGCTGTTGTGGCGCACCGGACCGCCCCCCAGCACCGTGCCCCACCCAACTGCATCCATGGGAGTCACAAACGGTGCTACACTCGCGGCTGCAAGCACTCACGACACTCAAACCCACCACCTGCCTCCTACCCTGTACGAGGAGCCATTTCACCCGTGCAACATCTGCACAGGTGTACCGCCGACGCTCAAGCGCCTGGCCCCTACTAGAGTAGTCTTGTGGGACCCACAAACGACCAATACATCCACTCGGGGCTGCAGCATGTGTCCGGGGGGGGCATCCCCGTGAAGCAGCCAGCAGGTGCCGGACACGGCGTTGGCCGTCTTGGA